ATTTGTCTTTTTAACACACCCACTCATCTTCACTATGAGTAGACTGTCGGGTGTTGCTGATCAGTAACACTTCTCTGTTTACTACACAGTCCTTGATATCCACGATCAACTGTCGGTTTGTATCAGTTCTCCCGACCGGCGCTCCTCGACCCTTGTGAGTGATTGGGTAAGACTGACTCCACCCGTGTTAGCCACTTGAGCAATTTCACTTCCTCATTATATCAGCCAGGCCACGTGACAGGATCACATACACAACAAGCGTCATGACCAGGCATAATACTGACAGGGCTGTTTCACTCTCTCCCGTTTGCTTAACAACTACTTGCAAACGACCGCACGACCATATGCAACCGTTATTACCAACGCCACTTTTAACTTCTCTAACCAGTGTTTGATTCTACGGATGGGGATGGGTAGTGGTTCTCAATTGACAAAAACATAATGTTTATGAGTCCAAATTAGTAAATAACAACAAATACTACTTTACTTTGTACAAATTCTTGAAAGGCATTTAGAAGTTGGACGAACTTGATTGAATACATGAGACGTTTTATGAATGACAACTGCTTATATTCTTTATTTTTTCACATCTAATTCTGGCTCACTATATCCTCATTCACATGATGAAGGAGAAAGAATAAGCTCTGAAACGTCGTACAAAGAATAAAATTGTTATCCATGAAACGTAATGTATTTATTTACATTTTAGGCACAGCATGGACACAAACCCTATCCTCAACTCCACACACCGGAGTATAACTTCAGAATGCATACTTCCTATTCTCACTGACCCGCCTCTGACTATCTGCATTTGTTATCAAAGCCAAAACAAATATAAATCTCATCACGCTTAAAACTTAAATGAACAATTAAATAAGTCAACATTGAGTTAGACATTACACTTGCATTTCTGCCATGGCGACTGTATGTTAGGCGATCTGTCTCAGCTGCCTCTGTCTGTCTGTCTCTTATAGACCCACCCCTTATATACATAATACCCATTGATAAATAATGTTTAATTAATACCTTCTACATATTAGTCTGTAAATTGTTATTATTCAATAACCTGTTACCTCGGTTTTTATAGCTTAATCTTCCCATGTACCTTGAACTGACTTTTATGTCTCCTCGTATACTACATGCGTTCAATAGACCGACCCAGTCTGCTCAACCTGGTGCATACGTCAATTTTGTGGATTTGTCAGACTTTCTTCCGGTGTCAAACTATACAAAGCAGCAAACTAAACGTCAGTACGAATTCTAAATTAAATAGGAACTGTAATCAAATCATTACAGAAATGGACATAATAAGCGGATCAAAAACATTTTTTGTGTACAATATCTTGACACAAAATGAATAATTCAGCACAATTTCAAGACATTACGTGAACGTTTGCAGTCCATTCAGACTCTTGACTTCAGTATCTAGTGTGACCATCACGAGCGGCAATAACTGCAGCACAGCATCTATGAACGGAGTGCACCAATCGATTGATGAAGGTCATTGGCACCTTGAGCCACTCTGAGAAAAGCCTGGCGCAATAAATCAGCTGTGTTCGGCCTTGGTATGACATTATTCAGCCTCCTCTCAATTTTATCCCAAAGATGCTCTATTGGGTATAAATCAGGACTAAGGGCTGATCACTGCATAATGTTTAAACGGTTCTGCTGTAGGAAGTCCCGTGTAGCTCTGGCAGTATGGGCCCGGACGTTATCATGTTGGAAAATGTTGTTCCGGTGACGTGTGAAATGTAGTATGACGTGGGGGGGCCTGAGAGCTTGGTCGGTGTAGCGCACCGCTGTGATGCCGCCTCCTCACCCCGGACCAAGGTTCTTGAACACCACAGGACCCAATCTCTGGTTCAGGCCTATTCCAACCCATACCATGATGCTTGCACCTCCCCATGAGTCTCTTTCCATAACACATTGGTTTGAGTAACGCTGGCCACGTCGTCGACATATTCTTGTTCTGCCATCTGCAGTTAATACGCAGTACCGACTCTCATCTGTGAACAGAATAGTTCTCCATTGCCTGTATCGCCAGTTTTGGTGTTGTAGGGCAAACTGTAGACGTTCACGCCGATGACGAGGGATGACGATAGGTCCACGGTAATATAAGGTCTACGGCAATGAAGGTTCCCGCTGTTAAGGCGTCGGCGTACTGTATCAGTACTGATTGATCTTCCATGTGTTCCAAATGTCTGGCGTGCTGTTTCGGATGCCTGCATGAAGGGATTCTGTACATACTGTCGCACAATATGTCGTCTTGTGGTCATCCTTGATCTGCCAGTACGGGGGCGATCATTTGTGGTGTTGGTGGCCCGGAAACGTTGCTGCAGCCTGTAGATGGCCCGAACGTTGACCTTGAAGTGATTGGCAACGGCTTGTGCAGTGTGGCCGGCTTCAAGTCTTCCTAGCGCCTGGTTCCTCTGAGCTGTCGTGAGTCGCGGCATCCTGCTTACGTTGTAATGTGAATGTTTCAACCAGGTTTGGGGGTGCATTTTATAGGGCTGGTCTTTGTGAACAGCACATGCAGCATGAGTTGCATGAAAAACATGGAGAACACCGTACCATTTCTCCGAGATCAGGTAATGAATCTTGGCTCAGGTAAAGTTGGAGATGTTGTCAGAAATATACAATCAAAATATTAAATGAGTTTACAGTTATCCGTTTCTGCGAAGGTAAATTCCAAACTGACGTTTCTTTTGCTGCTTAGTATATGTCTCCGAAGCGATGTTCCTAGGAATAACGCCATTCTCACTGTGGCATCCATTACGTATTGCTTGGATATGATTTTTACTTTAACAAAACCCATTCGATCGGGGCAAAATATTTGAGACGGGGTTGAGTGCTGTAGTCGGTGAGAATTTTCACGTCTTTCCTAACTTTTTGCACATATGCATATTCATTACTAGTAGATGACAACCAATAGCAAGCTAAGACACGTACAATGCTTGATACTGAAAAAAAATGTTTTTGTCTAACTGTTGTTTTTTCTGAATATTGAGAATTATTGAGTTAATAGGTAATAATGCTGAATAATACAGGCCTGCGAGCTGGGAGACAAACTGAAATGCAAACATATCTGACAGCGATGCAGAATTATTACATTAAAACAATCTGGTGGATATTGTTGCCTCGCTCTTAAATATTATTTACTATGTCACAGATTCAAATATTACTATTTAGTTTCCACGCGTTACGGTTTACAAATTGCTGTGATAAAATGCTTGTGAGTCCCCTTTAAACCAGCAAAATAGAACAAGTCTCTTATGCTCAATTATATATTGGATAAACAAGGTTACAATGAACGACAGTACAGACTTGTAAACAATACTATCGGATCACAAATATAAAATATTGGGTCACAAATCTAAGACATTAACTCACTAAAGTATTGATATTCCGAGTAAAAAACAGATGCACTGATTGGAGATTGTTGACAACTGTGAAAGTTCAATGTAGACAAGGGCTCTTGAAACGTCGATGTTAGCAGACAGATGAGCGTTAATCCAAAGTAATCTCAGCAATGATTCCGTATATACCTATCATACAGTTCCGGAGAAATCTCGCAAACACCATGCCAAGCCACGACCATTTAGAAATTGCTGGAATCCCCTCATAACTTACAACATCCTACTGAAAACACCGGAAACAAAGGAAAGGCAGCTCTAACTTACCTTAACAGGTAAAATTACACAGGCTAAGTTCAAGATGTGAGTTCAAATCCACACTGACCCATAACAACCAAAAGTCAATCAATGTGACAATTTAATTAACAAAAACACATCCTCATAACACCAAGGCACACATTAGAGACCATGCTTAGAATTCGAGGAGTAATGTTTTTAAACGGAAATATAGTTGAGGTCAGCAGTTTTCTTTCACGCCAATTCTTTCAGATTAATTCATATGAGTGACTATAAAACCATGCTCTGAATATTTCAGCAGTTCTATGAAGAGGTGGGAACTTATATTGTATTACTATCACTGTGAATCGTAGCATTTCTTCGAGGTTACAAAGACAAGGAAAATTATGTGAGAAGAATAGTGAATGACTGGAATGCTTGACAGGATGAAATAAACGTTTATTTTTTAACAACGAGAACATTATTTGTTTAGGAATTTTGTTACAACTTATGTTATTCACTTGTAGTGGAGGCATCGTGGTAGATATTTTAATGAAATGACATCCGTCATTTTGATTACTTTAATGGATATTACAGCAAGATAATTTTAACAATACTATGTAATGAAATGAATTATAACCTAATCGGGTTCATAAATATGTATTCTTGATCTCTTTCGTTCTGTTGAGTTGTTTGATGTTCATTACTTATAAGAGTTTTCTTATCTTGTAGTCTGAAGCGCATGGGCTTTGGTGTGGTCGCAAATAGCTGATTTGGAGTCATTTTTCTTCACAGATACCTTATGTTTCTTGATTTCCTATGTTTAGGGGCGGACGTTGTATAACACACATATAGAATGTCGCGGCATACATATAGCATAATATACACCGTCATGTCAACTTTACAAGTTTGCTAATTGTATCTGTCGACTGTCCTCATGAGCTGCTCAAACCTTTACTGAACACTGTTGATGTCGACTGCCCTCGTGTCCACCCCTTTACTGTATTTAACACTAATGATGTCGACTGTTAATGTCGACTGCCCTCGTGTCGACCCCTTTACTGTATTTGATATTTTTGATGTCGACTGTCGATGTCACCTGTCCTGATGTCCACGCCTATAACTGTATTTAACACTGATGATGTCGACTGCCCTGATGTCATCCCCTATACTGTATCTAACACTGAGTGTCTTCATGCCCACCTTGACCCCTTTGCTTGACACAAACGATATCGACTGTCCTCCTTTCCCAACAAGCCATAATTCAGGAGTGTTCGTTCCGAATGTGTGTTTGTTAGATTGTATTCACTATTCATAGGTATAATACTCTATAGTGCGTCAGTGTTGGAAAAAGGTGACAAAGACTTACTGTATTATTGAATTGTTTACTTGTCTGAAGCAACAACAGGCTGTGGCATACATTTAAAGCAGATATTATCTATTGTCAGCATTCAGTCAGTTGAATATATTTGTTGAAATCTGACAGTGTGATAATGTCTTTGATACATATGTATCATGCACTGAAATTGAAATTTCTTGAGGATATTATACACTTGCAAACGTTTTCATAATTTTCGCTATCATTATATATATGTTTATATATACTGGAGTACAGGTGAACCCTGGAGTACAGGTGAACCCTGGTATTCACAACAGGTATACAAATAACACAAACTGTGCAATTTCTTCAGACAGGCAAGGACGACAACTTAATGGCAACAATACAGTCAATCGTCAATTCAGAAGGTATCCGTTCAATCTTTCAGAAAACCTGCTAAGGATCTAGCGGGGAACTTTGACTACACCAAGTATCATTGTTTTCAACAGCTCCAATCATTAATATCCTGATGCAACCTTTCACAAATTGGTATAAAATGGCTAGACCCCGCCAGTGAGATGCAACGAAATACGTTACGACACTGACATATATATCTTGCCAAGACGTTTTCCGGACTATAGTCTGTTTGTAATGAAAACGTACCCAAAAAGTAAATCAAGTAAAATGAAATGAAGATTGCGAATCCTCATAATTTTACCTAGTCAGTTGAACATGTAAATCTCAGAATTTTATTCAACAGGATAACAGTTGTTAAACAAACAATCATAGTTTCAAATGGCTATTGTTGGTTTCTATCACAAGGGGGTAAGCGCAGTAGTTGGAACAGTGAAACAAATGCACGTGCGGTACGTAATGAGTGTTAACTTAAAACCAACCCGACTTGTTCTCGGGGTTTCAGTTAATGTGCATAACCCCTTTTGATACAAACTAACAATAGCCATTTGAAACTATGATTTGTGTAAACCACAAATATATGAGCTCAATCGACCAGACTGGCAAACAGAATGGTCCTCAGCCTTTAAGAAAATATCAAAATAAGGTATCATAAACACTCCTGCGCGGCACGTGCGGATTATAGAAAGTTGTAACAGACTTAAAGCTCTTGCATGTGATGTTTGGAGTCAGCTCTTGTCTGTGTTCTAATCGTTTGCATTAGCATTTATAATTCATGATCCATCGTTAACACTTTTAAGCATAAACGTGTAGCTCTGTTGAACAATGCAAAGTTCCAAACATTTTGTTGTCGATAATAGTACCACTATGCATAAACATATCCTTAGACTGATTTAATCGGACTTGTGCACAGAAACTGTAATGTTTTCTATAGAATATGGTACCTACAAGGATTTAACTACATCATATAGCGTATATATATGTGTGTTACATAATACTAAATGCTACATTCTTATGCTTTTCTTAAAGGTCACATGCAACGTAAAACACAACATTGCAGATTCTTATACCTTTCGGTATGGACTTACCGAAACAAATCATCAAAAATGCAAATTCAACTTATAAAGTTGAAAATAAAGCGATGAAAAAGACCGCGCGAAATCGTAGTTCAAACGATTCACTAACTTTCCCCCAGCGCTTGGGGGAATTGAAGTGGTTTCAACAGCTGGGCTGCGCTCATAGCACATGCGCAGTGAAACAGGTTCGCGGAGCTTGGAAGTGGGTTGTTCGGTGAATATTCGGTGAAGGCTTTGATGTGAGCTATTTTTCTAATGTTTTGTTGATATCTCACAGGCGCGAGCTTTTTATATGTTATTACAGTAGATTACCGATTTAACTGTTTATATGATTTCATTTGTCTATTTCACCACACGTTCTTCTTACCGAGTCACTTTCTCAGTTCGATACTTAAAAGCAATGTCATTATTTAGCGTCGACAGAATTTCTAACTGTGATATAGATATGTCGTTGTCACAGACAAAACTCAATGTCTTGTTTTATTGGCACCTATGTGTCTGCCTGCCCGTCTGTTAATGACAATATTCAATACACAATTTCAATCACTGACCACATGCAATTTGAACTTAACACCTATCAGGCTATACACCATAAACAAAACGCATTAATTTATGGCCCGAGTTCCGTCTCTCTCACATTATGTAACTACACAGACAGGCAGGTGTGATACTTGTACACATGACATGTTATGATGTCTGTTGATTGCAAAATGTTATACACAAATAATGAGCATGTATTTACAAAACCCAACATCTCTTTATATACACACACAATGAGCCGTGCGGGAATCGGCAAATGAACCAGTCGTTACACTTGAGTGCACACCCACCCGCTCTGACTGGGTTCGGTATCCCGGCTGCTTCGTTTCTTGGAAAGTAAACCGAAGTACACAATATTGCACTTTTGATTTGCGATTGTACGCATATAATTTTGTTTTTATGTTTTTTCATAACCAGCAATGTATATTATATGTCATGAATACGTGATAATTGTGTTTTAATTATGTTTGATTTTTTGGTTGCATGTGACCTTTAAACATTGAAACAATAGAACAACATAATCTATGGGCACAATGAGTCATTACACCAGCCACGTACATGTACATGAGTGCTTATCAGTCACAAACTAAACCGCAAAAGCATTTGATCTTGCTGGTTATATGTAGTGTACCCTTTCGCATTGCAGAATAAATGGTATTCAATTTACTATCGTTACTTTTATTTAAAGACCCGTGAAGATCCGGGGTAGAATAGGTCTTCAGCAACCCATGTGCTTGCCATAAAAGGCGACTATCTTGTCGTAAGAGGCGACTAAAGGGATCGGGTGGTCAGTTTTGCTGACTTGGTCGACACATGTCATCGGTTCCCAATTGCGCAGATCGATGCTCATGCTGTTGATCACTGAATTGTCTGGTCCAGACTCGATTATTTACAGACCGCCGCCATATAGCTGGAATATTGCTGAGTGCGGCGTGAAACTAAACTCACTCACTCACTTTTATTTAAAACATTTTACCTGTCACGTACATGCACATTGACTATTATCCTGAGTACTCATCATCACAAACTAAACAGCACTAACATTTGTAAAGGTTGGCTGCATGTACTATACAGGATTGCATTTGAAGAACATGTACTCATTTTGCTATTGCTACTTGTAGTTCTATTTAAAACTTGTTTCAACATTTATCCTCCCATAATCATGACCATCTGCATTCTGGTAAGTGGTAAGTGCGTCATAGGTATTGTCTGTGTTCCGAGAGGATTGTCCTGACACATAGTTTACATAACCCTCGTTACTGTGGCTGCTGTCGACCATCTGACCATCAGGAATCTTGTCGTATACGTCATCTTGCTCTGGGCGGACTTGATCTCTGCTCGTGTTGGACCTTTCCTTGTGTGCTTTTCTGTAAGACATCAGAACCTTTGGGTATATACATGTATGTCAATGAATGGATGCACTGTTTAATAAGTAACGTAACTCAGAAGATTATTTTCTTATTTTGAACCAAGTGGAGACATTGCATGATATACTCCATTGAATTTCAGTACAATGTTTGCCTATGCTATATCTTGATGACGGGCAGTTACCAGTAGGACCAGTCCTGTAGAGAAAAATGTGTCACCGGGTCATGCATTACAGCAGGCGCCGATCAGTATTTGAGAATAATCCAATTTTTAATGCCAAAGTAACGTTACAGGTATATCGCGGATGTTCTAGGATAACCAAGAGATTGCTGACATTGTTGCCCGTTGTATTTTTGTTTCGTTGACCATAATCTATGAACAGAAATAGACAGAGGGCTGAAAATAGAAGCTATTGCTTAATCAGGGTTTGTAACGCAAAACGCATGGCAGAAATTAATCGTTTCAGTTACAAACCATACTTTTGAGTGTGTTTTTTGCTTTGCTTTAAGGTAAAGAATTTTGTTAATATCCGCTTCAGAAGATACAATTTCTCCACTATGAGTTTTGTGATTGTGGTCATGTCTTGATAAATGTGAGAGGGTAACTATATGTCATTGAGATAATAAATAGCAAAAGCTTCCCTTAACAATCACGTTTACATTTACCTCTTCAAAACGTACTCACGTTTTGACTGTAAATCTAAGTTCTGCTTTTCAAATCGATCATCCTCACCTTCGTCGCAGGAAAATTATGATGCCTGTAACGACCAGTATGGCAACTACCGCAACAACTACACCTCCGACCACAGCAGCAACAGGTACTGGTGCTGAAATATATGTGTTGTTGACAGATTACACAGTCATTAAGTCATTAAGTCATTTGTCACTCTATATGAGCAAGTATGTTCTGTCAGCTATAGGAAACTTGTGTTTACCTGGTGTTGATATTTCTATTCTGCTGCTCGTGGTGCATCCATGATTGGTGCAAGAGTATGCATATACACTGAAACGGTAAAACACGTTGCTATATAGTCAATGTACTAGCAGCATAAAGAAACACAGAAAATGTCCTGATTGAATTTTCAAATTCTTTAAATGACTTTTTGAAGCTTTGTGAATTTGTGAAATTTACATACTTACATAAATGTTTTCCCTGTAGGGAGTTTTCCATTACAAAAGAGATTTTTCGTGTTTCCACTGCAATCCTCATTTCCGAGAGAGAATAGTAGGCTTGATCGTCCTGTAAATACAAAAGAAAACATAACTAACGACTAACAGGACAACACTATTCTTCCTATCCACGTGAACTGATTATGATATGGGTATGTCGTATTTACTGTCGTACCCTCAAACTTACCAACAACTCCCTTTAGCCAGTCGTCTTTTGTTGCTCTGTAGGGAATACTAAAATCTTGCGCATTGGCTGCATTCCAGTTGGCCATATTGTCATAATCCATTGTAGTAGTTTTTTGGTCACGATTTCCTGTATGGGATATTAAACAAGATGTCGACTGATATGCTTGCTTTTATATTGTTATTATTAAATTCCACCCATATTATATTTGGTAAGTTAAAAATTGCCAAATCCATGTTCCTAAAATTTGAACATAATGATAGGCAACGTTTTGATAGAACAACTTTTGTCCCCATGGGAGTCAAATAGTAAATGCTCTCACTTGTGCGTTTGCGTACAGTTCACAAAATGTGTCACAACAAATCAAAGATTTTGAAGACCTTAATTACTCACCGACTTGCCCACAATTTTCTTTTCGGCATACAATCAACCCCGTCTTGTTTACTTGACCATTTGTGCGATCATAAAGACATCTGGGACAGATGAGTAATGGTGGCGTCTCTGATTCCCCAGTTCCTCTTCTCACGGAATTCATAACTGCCGTCTGTGATGGAGCTAGGAAATTGAGAGCAAACATTTGGCAAAAACACATCCTTCTACTATAAACGTACTTAGAGTGAGTGAGTTAAGATTTATAGTCACATCTGCAATATTTCAGCCAGTTCGTGACTGAAAAAGAAATACATTGATGATAAATGGAATTAAATTAAAAGAACCTGTCGACGAAGGACAGTAAAATAACTAGATTGTCACAGATAGAAACGTAAAACCAGTAATTAGATCCAAAACATTTAACTATAGAGGACAACACAATATAAAAGCAGGCTATAGATTGCCAACAATTGAAGGTAGATCACCATACTAGGGCCCATGGGGACTTACAGTACATTTTCTTCCTGCATGGTTCCTAGCTGGATTTACACCAACCCTTCAGCACACATTAAAATAGCATATATACTACGATTACAAATAGTAGTAGGTTTAAATTTACTTTGAATCTATTGGGACTTACGTACCCTCTCAGGACGACAATAATGTTACAATACTTCACATTTCTTTCATCGCCTTTGTGGGTACAGCCGTGAACAATCTCAGTTGATAATCTAAAGGACCAATTATAAAACAGTTGTCTATTTACAGAACATATATCAAAATTTATGCAAAAATTCTATTTCTTTTTAAAAAAGCTGTAATTAAATAACAGTTAATGTTAAAAAGATCTCTCATTGTTCTGACTTTGAAATGGTTATCCCTTGTGATGGAAAAATACGTACTTAGAGAGAAATAGAAAGACAGAGTACAACCGCTTTTGGAGTTTAACTAAACTATGTCTACTTCAAACCGTACATCTTAAATACATGTAACATTTTAAAGTGTTTAAAATGTCAGGTCAGATGAAATTGGGTTTAACGTCACATTGTAGAATTTTGCACTTATGAAGAAATGTTTAGTTTCATTGCTATACTAACTTTTGCTATATACGCCAATATCTTATATTGGTTGATGCATGTCATTGTTTTGCGTAGATCAATGATCAACATGTTTTTCACTGAATTGTGTGGTAGAGGACATGTAGATAAAATATTGCAGTTTTGGGTGTTAAAGAACACATATACAAACGATGTCATGTGACTAGAAAGGTGCATAAAGTTCACCCATCTGTACTTTTTTCTCACACTTCATGTATGATGGGACATTTACATAAAATCTTATGACCGCTGAATAATAGCATAAATGTTATACACTACTATTTTAATTACATCACTCCTGGTTTTAAGAAAAAAAAAATCACAATGCTGTGCAACTTTGGAACAGAAATAACAACTTTCATACAAAATCACAAACACTTCCGTTTCTTCACAAAAAGGTGTTTTTGGAAAGCCAAATGCAGATATTATTTTGTTCAAATACCAGTTCAAAATACTCAAATTATCGTGGGCACAAAGTGCACAGTGAGGGACCCTGGTTATCACTCACAATATCATTAAATCATATGTCTGGTGAATCTACTGGACACATGTCAAGTGGTAGCAGCAGAGTTCTAATTTGAGTTAATACATTACAGGCACGTTCCGAAACCGTACAGGTTACACTGTACGTAAAGATTTGCCATGACTGAAAATGGTTTCGTCACTGTTATTAACCAACTACAGGTTTGCTGAGTGTGATAAATAATAACGACACATCACAGCAGTTAATAGTAAGTATCCAGTAAATCACCCAGTCGAAATGTTAGTTAATAATTCAATACTTACCACCTCCCACTATGTCTTTGCTTACACCGACAACAGGGCCTGCAAAACCTCTGTTGTAGAGACGGACCTTGTCACAGAGAAAATATGTAGAATGAGTATGATTTCAGTGTCTTTGTGACGATAACAGTTATGTAATTATATAATGACGTGAGGAATCCGAGGAGGATTTGTCACGGATGATTCAAGGCCGCCTATGTGTCACTCATTTCTCGAAAACGGTTCTGGTAGATAATGTTCTGAAATCAACCGTTTGTACATTACGCTCTGTTACAGTTTCAAGTTCGAAGAATTTCCATCCACACTGGATGGTTTAGTTTCAAGATGTTCAATGAGTGGTTAGACTGTTCCAGATTTGACTGTCCACATACCGCTAGGACATAGTTGACTGCGAGTGACAGTGATATTCTCATGCCTCGTGTCTCAACTCACCTCGAAGAGATACTTGAATTCTGTAGTTACGTCCACCTTCACATTCCACATGCAGTCGCCATAATTGGTGAAGTTCTCATTCTTGCTTATAGGATTAAATGTCGACTGTTGCTGGTGAACAAATATAACGACAGGTGGAAGCAGATGTGTAATGAGCTCGTGTGGACAGTTATGACACTCGAACAAGCTTACATTAGCAAATATGATAAATATCATTACGTATATAGCATCCCTGACGAATTAATGAAGACGTTTTAACGTGCCCCACTGGCGTCAATCCTATCGCATGTGATCAGCCTTGGACAGTGACTGTCGCAGATGGGATTATGCATAGTGCGATAGAGAAGCTTATCAACTTGACTGACTGCAACGTAAGTATACTCAGCAGCAAAAGGAAAACGTCAGTACGAATTCAAAATTAGATAGGCACTGTAATCAGATCATTACAGAAATGGACATAATAAGCGGATCAAAAACATTTTTTGTGTAGAATATCTTGCCACACCAATGAATATCTCAGCATAATTTCAAGACATTACGTGAACGTTTGCAATTCACTCAGACGCTTGACTTCACTATCTAGCGTGACCATCACGAGCGGCAATAACTGCAGCACAGCGTCTATGCATGGAGTGCACCCATCGATTGGTGAGAGCCATTGGCAACTGGAACCACACTCTGAGAAAAGCCTGGCGCAGTAAATCGAATGTGTTCGGCCTTGGAATGACATTTTTCAGTCTCCTCTGGATGTCATCCCAAAGATTTATGGTTGGGTTTAAATCGGGACTAGGGGCTGGCCACTGCATATTGTTGACACCGTTCTGCTGTAGGAAGTCCCGTGTAGCTCTAGCACTATGGGCCCGGGCGTTATCATGATGGAAATGTTGTTCCTGTGACGTGCGAAATGTGGTATGATGTGGGGTCTAAGAGCTTGGTCGATGTAGCGCACTGCTGTGATGCCGCCTCCTCTCCCTGGACCAAGGTTCTGGAACACCACAGGACCAACTGGCTGGTTCAGGCCTATTCCACCCCATACCATGATGCTTGCACCTCCCCATGAGTCTCTTTCAGTAACACATTGGTCTGAGTAACGCTGGCTACGTCGTCGACATATTCTTGTTCTGCCATCTGTTGATACGCAGTACCGACTCTCATCTGTGAACAGAACAGTTCTCCATTGCCTGTATCGCCAGTTTTGGTGTTGTAGGGCAAACTGTAGACGTTCACGCCGATGAGGAGGGGTGAGGATAGGTCCACGGTAAGATCTACGGCAATGGAGGTTCTCGCTGTTAAGACGTCGGCATACTGTATCAGTACTGATTGGTCTTCCGTGTGTTCCAAATGTCTGGCGTGCTGTTTCGGATGCCTGCATGAAGGGATTCTGTACATGCTGTCGCACAACATGGCGGTCCGTCATGTGGTCGTCCTTGGTCTGTCAGTACGGGGGCGATCATTTGTGGTGTTGGTGGCCCAAAAACGTTGCTGCAGCCAGTAGATGGTCCGAACGTTGACCTGGAAGTGATTGGCAACGGCGTGTGCAGTGTGGCAATGCTTCAAGTCTTCCTAGCGCCTAGATCCTCTGAGCTGTCGTGAGTCGCGGCTTCCTGCTCACGTTGTAATGTGAATGTTTCAAACAGGTTTGGGGGTGCATTTTATAGGGCTGGTTCTTGTGAACAGCACGTGCAGAATAAGTTGCATGAAAAACATGGAGAACACCGTACAATCTCCGGGATCGGGTTGCGTTTTTGATACCATTTCCTGGGTTCCATTCTGAGTTTGGGAAGGAATGTCTTTGCTCAGGTAAAGTTGGAGATGTCAAAGCTATACAATCAAAACATTAAATGAGTTTACAGTTATCCGTTTTGGGGAAGGAACATTCCAAACTGACGTTTCTTTTGCTGCTTAGAATAGTTTTTACCCTCTTACTAATACGGCTTGGTTAGATGAAAAATGAGCGCGTGAGTGCGTTTAGTTTTATACGTCTGTAGTTTGTTCACATAATTCTCAAATGTCTGAACTCAATTTCCCAGGTGACAATTGCCTTGACATCATTCAACTTGAACGTAGTATTGAGCCTACTGGCATCACCCCACCAAGATCTCTTCAATTTGATTCAAGTCACAATCATAAGGCAATATTTCCTGATATACCTGTCTACCAAAAAAAACAGATGCAGGTTGTTTTTCGTTGATGATGACACAGATCTGGGGCTTAAAATGTCACCATGACCATTTCCTGGTTGTTTGAGGCTGGAGTGAGTAAGTTTAGTCTGAGGCCGCTTTTAGCAAATATTGCAGCAATACCACAGTGGGGGACATCACAAACTGGCTTTACGCGTTGAACACATAATGAACTTTTTTCGATATTGGAGGTTTAACATTGATACTCCTATCTACAATTTTACTTGTCTAACATGTGACTATTTTTATAAACATATGACGTGTAACTACCTCTTCACCTTAGCAACTCCCCCCCTCCTCCTAAAAATATGAATGAATGAATGAAGAATGTGGGGCATAACACATTTCAGACCGGTGTTCACAGAATGACAATGTGTTCACAGATTAAAACCAACTAGCCCCAAACCCCAAAGTCGGTTAGGAAAGTGTCACATTAATATTTCATGGCGAAGTTTGTATTTTATAACTAACTATGACGATGGATAATTCCATTTTCCCTTCCTAACCCACTGAAACTATTCAGCCGTATATAGTTAGAAATAATGCAGAGTTCAGCCGTATAAAGTGAGATTGCTCAAATAATTCAACTTACTTTTGTGAAATAATTCAGATTGGCGTTAACAATCACTCCATTTCTACCATCTTTCTGTTTGGGACACTCCCACGACACTTGTACCTGGTGAAACACATCAGTGATGTCCTCGACCTTCAGTTCCAACACACCCGTCGGCTCTGGGAATATAATGAGTACAGCTTGAAGACTATTGAAGAAATTACATGGCACCAAAAGAATTCTTATAAGCAACAGGTGACATATCTGTTTAAATACGTGTATCCTCAAATGATCTTACTCTTGTTATTCTCACACACACACACACACACACACACACACACACACACACACACACACACACACACACACACACACACACACACACACACACACACACACACACACACACACACACACACACACCCCTCTACATCATCATACATTATCAGTTAAAAGGACATGTTAATCAGTGAAATATGAATGATTTTAGTACCTGATTCCATTGTCCTCTCAGGGCTGCTGCTGACAATGGTCGAAGCACCAATGCTTGTTTCAGCTACTATATCAAACTTGTAAAACCAATAGCTGGAGAGATTGCCACAGGTATACGTCTTGATTCCCCACCCTAAAATATAAACACCACGCTTCAACAGACAAATAGGTAAATATTTGAAGTCAACGTCAGAGAATAAGCAGTTATGCCACGGACGAGATTCCATTGGGCGTAAAAAGAAAACTAGCTGTAAACATTTAATGAATGGAATCACTGACAATCAGTGACGAGGCCTGGTGGTAACAGACTGAGTAAGCATGCCTTGTCCTACCTGTCGCATCCACCACTCATACCATGTACATGAAACTGTATGTGGTTGCAGCCAATATCAGTTTCATTAAATACCTCCCTATTTTAACAATATAGGCATGAATATGACCACATACCGTTGGTAGGAGGAGGGAGGTAACTCTTTTCAGATTGTTTAGGTAAGATATATTTTATGCATTCGTCAAGCTCTTTCAACATAATATGATCGCTAAGATGTTGTCAGTGTGATAAAGTGAAATTACTGGTCTACTCCGTATTTTGACAGTTATCTGTCACAATGCCATACAGGTCGGTATCTCGCAACCTCTTATCGAGTTCCTACAGAGAATAATCGTCCCGAGATGCCTCTGCTAATGCATCATGTAAGCAGGGCGATCTTTCATTAATGTTTGATATTTATAACACTTGATAAAGCAGCAACATGGCATTGATCACGCAGCAGAAGTACAATGGAGAGACATGGTTATTCAACACATCACACGGTCATCACTTATATAGTTTCACGATAGTTAAGCAAAATAAGCATCATTTATCAACAACAAACCAACCAAACATCAACACACAAATAAATCCCACGACAAACACACCTGAAAGTGCTATGAACTTCACAGTGTCGTAACCCTCGTTGTCTTCCTGTTTTTCATACACAGTTATGTTGTACTGAGTGACACCAGGTCGGGGTTGCGGAGGATCCCATGTCAGAGTTATCTCGCTTGATGACTTGCTCTGTGCCTTGAAGTTCGTAGGGCTACCGGCGCCTGAAATACAGTCGTTAGGTATGTTTATGTACTGCAGTACACACACACATACACACACACACGCACACGCACACGCACACACACGTTTATTACTATTACATTCTATTAATCACATCACTGCTCCAACAACCATTCTAAGAATAACAAAAAGGTCGTTTCCTTGGGTCAAAGGTAAGAAAACCGAAGGAAATACTGAGGAAAACTACAATATTAACATTTTTTACAAATAATTCACAAAGACAACACTTGATGTGATAAAATTATCAACGTCCACCTAACATAAATACTAAAACATCGTGTAGACAACAACAAGAATAGACATGTCCTGCCGAGGACGTAACTTTAATGAATTATAATGAATCCTTAAAGTATTTTTTCTGAATATATTAAAACAAAGGATCTTGATCCAGAAAGGCATTTTGAGCAATTATCTCCTTTTACAATGCAAATGGTAAAATCTGTCACGAAGTACAAGAATAGAAGTGACAAAATCCGTTCCACATCCATAAGAAATCTCTGCTAAAAGCAGAGTCGACAATTAATAATAATAATAATGAGTATTTATAAAGCGCTGTATCCATCCACAAGGTGCATGCTCAAAGCGTATTGTGACTACATAACATTGTGACTATTATAAGGGTAACGCTATTTTCAGGGCATTATCATTTGCAGAAGCCCGAGGTCTTTCATACGTGATTGACTCCTCTTTCGTCGGGCAGTTGAAAAGCCCGAGGTCTTCTTGTAACAGGGATAAATCAAGGGATTCTATATTGTGCACATACATTATAACTAATCAATTTCATTTTATTCTTATTTCAGATGATCCGATAGACGATTTTTCTACACATTATATATAAGTTGCAATTAGTTGTCAGTCCAGCTGCATCTTGTCTTGGCCTTAACTGTTCAGTTCGGTGTCACAGGGCTGGTTCTTTGTGTATTTAAGGGTGTATGGATCGATCTATTTTTATGTCATTGTCTTTAGTTATTTTAACAATAGTCCAGGCTCAGCTTCTCGGGTGATTGCTCTAATTTCAAATATGCGTCTCACCGCCATGTTGCTACTAATCAGCTGCACTACACTGTCTGTCAAGAGGGCTGTTTAGAAGGTTGAGTTTTGGTCTAAGGTTAGTAATCATACATGTGTAATTGCTATACACATAGCTAATTAAACTCTAATATAGATAATTGTATAATATAGGCATAAATATGTACAAGATAAATAAAGTGTAAATATTTACACAATATGCTATTTTACCTGTATGAATGTGCGTATCGTTGGTTTGCCCTATGTAAAGTCAATATGCTGGCTTGTACTTCTTGTTTTACAAATGCTCTATATGATGTTCCATCCATCCATCCATCCATCCATCCATACATACATACATACATATCCGTAAACCGCTCAAAGGCGCTTTTGGCTCTAAGATGGTATTGATATCACATAGAGTTCAAATGCTTCTGTGAAGAGACAGGTCTTTAGATTTGATTTAAAAACAGCTAAATCTGCTTGTGTTCTGAGGTGAGATGGTAAATTGTTCCAGAGATGAGGGCCAGCCATCTCGAGTGGCCTGTCACCATATGATTTTGTCCTAGTCACAGGAATTGTCAAAAGACACTGGTCATTTGATCGAAGGGAACGTGCAGGAGTATAACGGTGGAACAGATCACAGAGGTACTTGGGAGCTAGACCATGGATACTTTTGAAAACAAGGAGTAGAGTTTTATATTTTAGGCGGTAATGGACGGGAAGCCAATGAAGTCAGTGAAGAATGGGAGTAATATGGACCGATTTCTTTGACTGAGAGATCACTCTGGCTGCTTCTGTGCCTTCTGAAGCTTATGTATAAGATGATTTGGGAGACCCACAAGAAGAGCATTACAGTAGTCGAGACGAGATGATACATATGCCTGAATAAGAGATACTGTAGTCTTGACGTCCAGGTATTGTCGAATCATGCCGATGTTGCGAATGTGGTAGTACGCCCTTCTACAGATGCTATTGATGGACAATGGACAGTGAGAAATCAAAAATAACTCCCAAGTTACGCACCTCAGGCTTTAGCTGAATCTCACACTGACCGATGCTCAATTTAGGAAGAGAGATACAGGTTTGGAGACGCTTAGGGTGGAAAACTGTAAGTTCTGTTTTATCATCATTTAGTTTGAGGTAATGTGACGTCATTCCAGTGCTCAACAATGTTAGAGTTTTATGTGGGATTATTGCACGTGTTGGCTGCTCGGCTGCTGGGTGCTTGAGCACACTCCCGTGTCACCCACAGGGTAAGTTTCTTTGTCTGTTGTTATAGTTTGTTTCATGATATGCCACATGAAATGTCACTTGTAATAATAACAATAGTATATATGCCATTTTGCCCATTACCTGCGTGAGATTTTATTAGACAGGTACATTGTTTACTTAAGTCTTTATGGAGACATGTGTTATATATAAAGACATTTCTATCAGATGTCTATGCCTACATATATATGAAGTCATATGTTCATCAACTATGTTTCTAGCATATACATATACATTGTGCAATAATTGCTGTTACAGAGTTGTTTCTTCTTTTCCACTACGGAATAAAAGATATTGAACTCACAACTCGTAGCCTGTGGTTAATTACGGAGGGTAACACCACTATTTCATGGCTGCAACATATTTTATTCATGATTTATAGCTAAAATTGATAGAATGCAAATGATAATGCCCTGAAAAATAACTTTACCGTTATTAGCTAAAATGGTATCGATTTTGAAGCATTGAAGCATTTACTGCTAACAACAAACGACGGAGGTCACTGACACACTTTTTACAAATATGGAAACGTCATAGAACAAAACAGATGACGTCAACTATTGAGAGTGACATTCGACCTTGACCTTTGCCCATTCCAATAGCCGCCATTTTTTCAGTGCTCATCGAGTTCCAATCCATGTTTTCGTTGCTGCATGTTGTAATTTATGGTAAAATTGTTAAGGTTGGCACCGGCAAGGAAAATAATTGCACAGGTACATGTGACGAATGTGAGACAGAAATATCGCCAATATTGAACCCAAGTTCAAACGAGTCCTAGGTGATTGAACATCAAGAGCTGATTGAGTGTGTGAATGAGTTAATATTTAAGCCATATCGTGACGACAAAACGTTATGTAATAAGAATAAACATATGTATACAAATCTAAAAACCTGCCAGCGAAGGACACCAAGAGCTGAGCTCCTTATGAGGTCACCTAACAACGGGCATGATAATGATCCGTCGTCAAGTAATTTGGGGGCATTATCAAGTTACAGTGGCCTGCTCATTGCTGATAACAAGCGGGCGTTTTACTGATAATTCTATCCATTTTAGCTATAAATCATGAATATATATTTGTTTCAGCAGTATTATAGCTGTACAAAAAGTGAAAAAGCTGAGGTTTGTCTTTTTATCGTAAAAGAACAATCAGTTTCGATTACCTGCTAAAACAGATTAATTGTAACAATAAAAAGTAGAAAAAGCATATTTGTTATTTGTCTAAAATCAATTGCTCCACTAGAATATGCAGAAATATCTCATCATTAGGAACGCTGACAAGTATAATGTTTCCTTTAGGACTAGTTATAAAATAGCGCTGGTTACTTAGGCCTTAGCTATAACTATAAAACTAATAGATATATGTTATTACACAGTGACTATTTTTTCTCACCTTCCTCGGGTGTGTGTAGATTAATTTGGCCGGTTATTCCTGGTCCTTCTTCATTAACAGCTACAACGTCTATGGAGTAGGCTATATTTGGGTTCAGGCCTGTTATGTTGTGCTATATGACGTGGGCGGTGTTTTCAATGTCAGCCTGGGTTATCTCAACAGTCATGGTTGTTTCACATTCGGTCTCCATCTTTGTCTGTGAAAAGACAATACGAACAAGTTCATATATTAGAATTTTGCTGAGTCTAGGTGTGTTGACCTGATTTGAGGGCATATCTATCATGAAACATCAACCTCAGGACGTTTAGGAAAGGGCTCTACTGGGGGTAGATATTCACCCGGAGACGGAAACGCATTCTTAGAGCTTTATTACAGTCTGAAACTGAAACGCTAAGACATACAGACATATGGAATTAAAACCACATGTGTTTCCTTCTAATTAAAACAATGTGCATATAAACGATGCCCATATATCTTGTTGTGCAGAATACCTACTAGTAGTATGATCTGTATACATCCGTTGGTCGATAAACCTTTATAAACATATTGTAAATAGTATCGCAACGCCCCTTGTCTTAATAGTATCAATATGCTACCATTAATCATTGGAAATTAAAATAAAAGGACATATAAACAGAACATCAGTTTTGACCATCAAAGATGCCTCAAGATTGACACTTTGTAGTGTTGATAACTATGGTTGTATGGTGTTGACAAGTGCTCTCATTTTCAATAATCTGGCATACAATCCCCCCAAAATCACATACGTATCATAAAAGAGCATCTAGCAGGTCGTCTGTCATATAACCCGATCGAATTTATGCGATTTTGGACCGATCTGTTGAACAAACGGCGATGTGGAAACGACTCTGTCTTTACACGCCACATGACATGAACAGATAAAGTCTTGCGGCTCGTGGTCGTGGTCGATCTTACCGCTGACGGTGCTTAACGCCATTCGTGTATTTTTGTTTCTGGAACTCTTGCAACAGCCACTCAACGACATCCTTGCATTCCGCATACCAAATGCCTGCCTTCTTTCAGCAGTTAACAGCTGAGGAAGTACTATTTGTTTATCAACAACGACATAAATTATCAATGTGTATCAATGTGTAAGAACAGATTACAGATTTGATCGTAGCACGTGCATATTTAAAATAAGTGTATGGTGCGACCATAAGGTCAGAATAATCAATCAAACAAACATTATTATGACAGGAATATATACGACTGTTCAGGTGTTCCGATGCTTTTTTCCATGTGCATCTGGTCCGACCATCACAAATGGTGCTCACACTATCAAACCTTCATGTACCATTACACATGATCTACTAAGGCAGTTGTGTTTTATTCTTAGACAAGCACATATATTCTATGAATTGCATGACAGGTATCTATGACGTGACTGACTGCTCTAAATAAAGTACGAATAAACATATATTTCGATATTGCATACTTACAAAGATTAGCATATCTCTGTTACATTCAGTGCAGTTGATGATGATCCGTTTCACACAGACTGAGGGACTACCCGTCCTGACGTCGACAATATATTCATAGATCTGCCCGTTCGGGTTGACTGGTCTTCTCCATTCCACGGCGACAGAACGGGACGTGTTGTCAAACGACTTCAGATTGGTAACTATTCCAACAGCTGTAGACACAATGTACTTGTACTTCCTGTCTTATAGTATTCTAAAAATATAGACCAGGCTATGTACGAAACGGGATTCTGTTTCAGTTTCCTAATTTGGTATTGCCGTCTAAAAAAAGCTGCTAATAGTACTAAGCTGCTAATAATAGATATGTATGAAGAATACATAAGTGCTTGAACATTGTTAAATGTGTATTGTAAAACAGATGTGAATTTTCAGATAACCTGCTGGAAACATAAATGTATAAAACGTTTGAAAAGTATGATTTGGGGTGGGCGATGGAATCATGATTGATGAATGTTGTATGAATGGTAAGATGCTGTAACAACATAAATCATCACATTTTATCATTATGTCAGGTAAACATAGTATTCGTGAGTCATAGTTTAGTAACATACGGATCAACATCTATGTACAGTTTGAAAGGGTATTGGATATTCAGTTCGAAATGTTACATATTCACAGACGAAATGTTACAATACTAAATGTTGAGGGTTTTACTCTACTCACGAGTTGACTGTACTCGTATCACAGTGGTATAGGGTAAACTCTGGAGGTTCCCACTCTGTGTTAGTATGTTCAGAATGTACGATACAGCCGGGACAACACCAGTGAAGACGACAGAGATGAGACCCTGTCCAGTGTTGACAAGTTGATGTTGGATGTATGTATCTCCATCCCGTCCACTGAGTGTCACAATGTACATGGTGGCATCCCCTGCAGCCTTGGCGAACACAATGGTGATGTCTGGAGCTGTTCTGTTGGTTCTGGTCATGTCAAGGCCAACGACAGAAGCCGGCGCTGCAATGATGGCAATAATTTAGAGACGACATTTGTCTCATCCAAAACGCGCGATGGTATAACAGATGAAAGACGCATCTTGATGTAACGTTACAATAATGTGCGTACCTAAGATCATTTACATAAGTACATGTTTTCCCAACACATATGGTCATAGCTTTAAAAAAGTCTAAACCCTTACAGCGTCCAGTCTCCATCTTGAGTTTTACTCCCTTTCTCTCACTATGCGTCTAATATAATATTCAATTTAATCTACCTGAGACCGATTACTTAGAACAGGTGCATGTATTTTTCACAATGAATCAAAGTAAACAGCATTGAGTCCTTGGCGTATTCGTCAAAAATCATACAATGAAAGAAGTAATATTTCCAGCTTCAGTGTAAATATACAGTGTTGGCTAGTTAATGCATGGACATAACATCGGGAAAGTATAATTTCTCTCTTAGGTCTTCGCTGTGAGTGAGAGGCGGTGTGGAAGCGTAGTGGTTAAAGCGTTCGCTCGTCACTCGGATTCGATTCCCCACAATGTGTGAACCCCATATTTGGTGTCCCCCGCCATGATATTGCTAAAAGCGGCGTAAAACTAAACTCCCTCCTTTAGTCACTCGCAGTGAGTGAGTATGTGTTTTAGTAATACTCCAGCAACGTCACCACGTAACTTTCAGAACCGGAAACTAAGAAAAACATTGTATCACATTATGTGAAGCGGGATTGAGAATTATATATTCCATCAATCGCTTGTTTGTTAGTTTTGTTTACATGTTGACGTTACACTGCTAAATAGTAATAGATATTTACTAACTTTCGCAAATTGTCGGAATGGTTGGTGTTGCCGGTAACCTTTCTCGAACACCTGGTGTCATAACTGATTTCGATGGTCCATTCATGGCATTGTTGTCGGGCTTCCATAACACATATATATACGACAATATCTACATTTCACCCAACCAGAGGCCTTAGTTCCGCCGTGACGTATTACGATAACATTGGAAATCAGGTTATCTTGTAGATTATTCAAATGTACACTTCAGTACTATTTTGTATATGGAGGACGTCTCCAAAGGGTTGCATCAGTGACCAAAAGGATATCCGATGCAACGCCTTAGTTTGACTTGTACCATGTGTTCCCGCGCTCTTGTGTATTTTAACTGAACACTTGACTTGCCTCTGCATGTGTTTGTGACGCCTGACGCCGGTGGAAAAATTATGTTCTCCTTTTCACGAACAACTGTAACATCTCTATTTGATAATGATCTGTCAATAAATGCCCATGAATTAGCCGGAATCGCAAAATCAACTGTGCATCTGGCAGATATTTTATATGAATATAGGTGGTGAATGTGACATGTATTTTACTGTAATGAGTTTAAAAGAAAGGTATCAAAGCAATCGGATGGTCTTAGTTTTTAACCCAAGTAACGATCAATTATACATTATAAAGTTTCATGACAGCCAGATAAGTATTATTCATTGTATTAACACTTGTTGTAAAAGATAATTCCTGTCACTTCAGCCTTTATTGTAAACACATATTCATCAAAATTGTGTATCAGACTTGTGTATCTTTACAAAATATGCCGAAATGTCAAATTTAAATTCGAAAAAGCCTTATTGTAAAATGATTTACACCAAGACTATTTTTTATATTAAGGGTTGTAACAGAACACGTTTGGACAGGCAATACGGTCACATCACTACGATTCGCATTGCCAAGATTCAGTAGATTCAGTAGATTCATCCGCACGACTTCTGGTTATGCGTTGGTGTCTTTCTAAAGCATTACCCCCGCCGTGATATTGCTGGAATATTTCTAAAAGCGTAGTTTAAGTTTATACTGTTGCAGACACTCTTAGTTATATAATGTCATTATTTTCAACCAACTGCAACTGAACAAAAGAACTTCTAAGTGTCCTGTACATACATGTTCGCTTTGGTGCTGCAGATACAACATCAATCATCTCATCTCGTCCTGGCAGGTAGGTAATCTTTGTCTTCACGTTCACAGTGTATACTCTCCCCGGTGTCAGACCTGTGATGGGCGTGGTCCTGCTGTCTCTGCCGACACTGACTGGAGTAATGTCCCCTGGTGTAACCGTGACCTCGTACCCGGTAACGACGCCGTTAGAAGGAGCTGTCCATGTTGCTGTCATGGTGGTTGTGCTTTGTGCGACAGCCGTCACAGTGGTAGGACGAAGTTGGTTGACTGAATTGATATGAACAGGAACGGAACACATCAATACAGGAAAATATCTTTCATGAACAGGAACTTGATGGATTTCACTGTAGATTCAGTAGGGGAGAGCGTAAGACAAGCATGCACGTTTTCAGAATTATCACACGTAGTTATAAAGGTGGGAGATTTCATACACGATAGACCATATATAATATAAAGTATACCATTCTCATCAGCATCGGTAACAATCCTTTGACCCATTTCCTACAGATGATATAAACTTGTGTAATGGAGACAATCAAATAAATTGTGTAGCTGTGACAATTAAGCAAAATAGGTTAGTGACGTTTGACGAATATATCTAATTTTGGATATGTCTCTGATATCATGGGATTTCCACAACAAAAAGTCGTCATTACGCAATTCGGTCATTGTGAGGGTTTAAACTTATTCAAACGGCCCTAGTATTTCAGACTGACGGTGCGTCTGGAGTCGTGGTTATCACTTTGCGTGGTTTTCATATCATTTACTTTCAGATGTTCAGACGGAGGTCAGTTGAACAGGGTACATCCATATATAACTTGTTCATGTTCATGTACGTACAGAAAATTGCAATGTAAGTTGATGTAAGTACTGACTGACATTGCTTGATGTTCGACTAAGAGAAACTTCCGATTATGTGCAATAAAATGACATCACCGGAAATATGTTGAAGGGCGCGCCTGACATCCACATATTGGCGCCATGACGCTAAAGGGTTTCAAGAATAAACATGAACTATAATAACTTATCCACAGGTCAACATGACCACAGGTACACCACCCCATGACACTGGAATGATCGGTGGACAATGCATTTATCTTACCTAGTTGCATATTGCCGGTGCATTATACATGTATACTCTTATAAGATTCGGTCAGGATACCACTCTGAGGAATTAGAAATGAGCCAGTCACAATCCAAAGTTCACGTGGAAGGTAAGATAGGCATCCATATTAACCACTTACTGCTGACACAGGTTGTAGTTCGGTAGAATCCCGGGTCACAGCGACATCTACCACTGTAACAGTTGGCACTGGCATCGTAACACAAACCAGGTTGTGAGCAGCTTCCGTTGTAGCCTAACCCTGAAAGCAATGATTAAGGCGTAAGTCTGCAGAGATAGCCCACAATACGTCGTACGTGTGATAACATGAGAGAGAAGATAATCAGTTTATGAACATTCGTTCAACATGTGATATTGGTGAATGTATATATCTGGGTATCAATGTTTCTAATGTTGAAAAATCAGTTCTTAAGGCTTATTAGTAGTCACATATATGTACACATTCAAACCTACATCCAATATATTGTCTCATTAATACTTGATTAATGCGACATGTAAAGATTTTCTAACAACATGACATTATACCATGGCTGAAGTTGACACAATGTGCAGATGTAGTATAGGCAGATAATAGTTTCAGCACATACTCAAGTTGATGTCCATAATTTCCTTATTGTGTCTTGAACCACATTACCGTGTTTGTTCAGGCGAATGACAGTCCGTTTGGCTCAAAAGCGGACCGATGCATTGAAATCTAACTCGAAAACTAATAAACACATAATACTCAACGAAACGCTGATCATGATCAAAATATCAGACCAACTCTGTGAGATTTTTTGCAGAATTTATGCCGTAAAAATAAAAAAGTTGCTTAACAAACTATCATTAAAATATTGACACAGTTCACTTTTTGTTACGAGGGAAGAGTGCAGAGTGAGGAACAGCCAGGTGTTGGGCATAAAATCTGCCCAAAAATTAAGAGACATTTCAAAGGATAAGCTCTGTTCTAAGAGAGTAATGCTGCATGTTCCATTAAGACTTCAATGACTTTTTACAAATTAATTGTCATAAACATTACTCCGGAAATCATAATGGTTTTATATTGAGTTTTAACTATGAATGACTCACCACTGTCAAGTTCCAAATACAAGACGTGAGTCAAACCACTCGGTCTGAGTTCACTGCCAACGTACGAGCTTTCACTTACAGGTTTTGAGTATTTGTGGTATGGGAAAGAGCACATTCAAGTCTTGAAGTGATAAACATAATATGGAATCATGTTGTGACAATAATGACTGGGGAAAAGTGTAACGTAGGTACTTGTTGTAAATGTCCTTTGGTCCGAGGAAATCGTCTGACTCCTGCCGTAGAGTGTGATGATGTGTATAACTGTGATACTGTATGCTGTTCCTGGAGACAGGGGCTGGATGGTGTAGCTCTTCTGGGTTATAGCAGCAGATGTTGAAGATCCTGAAGATCCTGGAGATCCTGGTAACCACGTTACTGTATAGCTGGATGTGTACCCTCCAGTGACATCGGTATTGGTCCAGCTGATGTAAATATTACTTGTCCCTGTAGATGGTGGTTCTGTGATGACTGGTTTTAGTGGGCTATCTGAAAATATACATGTTCAGATCAGTAACAAAAATCCAAGTACTATCATTGCCGACATTCACTTAAAGCGTCAACAGTGGTATGTATGATAAATGTATGCTCAGTCTCTTGATATACCGGTCCTGTCACATGTATTACTGCACATACGTCATCATGGGAAACTTCGCAACTCTTAATCTTTGATCTCTTGACAGGAAGTTTTTCAGGTGCCTCTACCAAACGACTGGGCATTAAGAACGTGATTCACTTACAGAGGGGAGTATTTGTGTCTTTTATTGATTTGGGCATTTGGTCATTTAGCATGTTAAATGAACGAAGATGCGATTGCATCATCAAGATATGTTAGATTGGCGACACTTTTGTCTCACCAAAAATACAAAGGGATACCCAGTGTTGCCCCTCCTCATAGACAGATAACATTTAGTGTAAGGGTATAAATAAAACATATATGAATGCACCACTCGGAGGCCGAAAACACAACCTAAAAAACACAACACAAAGCTTGGGTCTTCCATGTATCTGTGGCGTATTTTAAATTCTCCCACAGATGACTTTTACTGTTTACTGTACATTGTATGCACCTACGATGACATTCATGCACAAAGAATTCACTGAATATGGCTGCTCCATGGAAAATATATCAACCTCTTATTGCATATATCATCACACTATTTAAAGGGCAAGTGTACACGAAAATGAACCTATTTTTCTTGCTCTTTTTTAACATGAAAATTATTTACTTGGTACTTTTAAAGACAAAAACAGTAAAATTATAAAAATTAACTATATATTTTTTGTAGGAAAACGATTTCTATTTTACACATTTACCAAGTGTTCCATTTCAATAGTAAAAACACCATGGCTTATGTCCCCTTGGAAATGACGTAATTGGTGCCACATTTATAAACAAATGACGTCATCAGGTTGCATGGAACCGCTTCACGTAGTGCAAGCATAAGGGTTTGATTCCAGCGTCTCAGATGCGCATCCTATTGAAATGAACATGGTGCACTGTTCGGTTCCTCGCTGTATGAACCACAATGCAAACAAACATGAAACCAAAGTAAGTTATTTCCGCTTCCCCAAATCACCACGGAGAAGACAAGAATGGATAAAATTCTGTAAAAAGAAGGATAGTGACTGGAATGGCCCGACTAGTGAATCGCGGGTGTGTGTCGCGCACTTCGATACTTGCTGTCGTGTGTCGCGATCGACGACTCTCAGTCAGTCAGCTGATCGGACACAACTACGCCCCGATGCGGTTCCATCCTTGTATGGTAATGAGGTCAAGGGACAGCACTCTCATCAAGAGCCCGACTGGTCAGTTTTTGTAAACAAACGACGTAAAGTCGAGGGAACTCTGGTAAGTAAGTGAATACCAAAATAATGTAAACATGCTACCCTAGTTTATAAGACTGTAGTTTATATATATAAAATAAAGAAGTATTTATTCATAGTTTCGGTAGCTAATTAGATGTGCGTCTCGTTCACTTCCTGGTTTCAATAACATCGATCCTCGGTGATCAGCTGATCGTTGAGCTAAAGTATTGTGCTTGGTTTTGTGATTTTGAATCGGAACCATTTGTGGAATTTTTTTGGGGGTGAATAACGTCATCGAATGCTTTTCTTTTGAAATTTGTAGCCGTTCTCATTCACGACTGGGGGTAGTGTTTACCAATACCAGTTCCCCTCGATGCCGGAGGGCAGTCAGTGTGTGGAGGAAAACGAAGCTGTCAACATCCACTCACGTACATCATCTACTACTGAGACAGTTGACGTGGGAACAGACACAAACCAACTCATTTCGGTAAGACCATTAATAAAGATATAAAAGAAAGAACAAATTACCTGTATGTTATTTCGCATGTTAATTAATACAATATTTAAATCTGACTTTCCTTATAGACCATGCTTTAAAAAATACAGAAATGTTAGGGTAATAAAACAACACTTACTGACAAAGTTTAATTAATGCAATTTATATTGCATATTTTTTTACAATTTTTGAATGTTTGTATTGTATCTTCCAAATGTGTAGTGTCGGAGTAAGTCCTGTCAGTGTGTGACACCCTCCTTGATGTCGACTGGTACCCAGAAGAGCATGAACACATCTTGGTGCACAATTGCTGTCCAGTGTACACCAGATACATGCGACCGTGCTACACAATATGAGGTTACAATAACTACTCCTTCAAAATCTACATCCAGTGAATATTGTTCTGTATTGAAACATGTACATTATGTTATGTTCTAGTGATATTGTAACAGAATTGATTTTGATGTAAATATCTGGTAGTAACTGAGCATTAGTGTATGCACTTACAGCCCTAATACTATTTATGCAAATTGGTCACATTGTTACCCAGGCACCAGGTGATGCTGACAGCAAGAACAATATGCCTGACACAACTGCTGATGGAAATGACACTGATGAAGATTACAATCCACATTCAAGTCAGATCAAGTTCGAAGAATCTCAATCCCAGCCAGAGTATGTATTAAATGTGCCAATTCCCAATTCAGGTCATATCTGCCATATAACGTGTAATAATTGTGATCGCACTGATGTAACATGTACAATTTTTATGTGATTTTGACAGTTGTTAATTCACATTTCAGGTCCCTGAACAACCATATGGAAGAAACAAAGTTCCTGGTGTTTGAATCCAATTTGCTGTCACTTTTCATGTTTTGCAAATTATGCTTTTATTCATGCAGAGCCAAAATTTATCATATCTGTGGGAGTCTGGTGACAGTGCAGGTACAGTGCCTCAGACACCAAGAGCATGCATACTTCTGGAATAGTCAGCCAATACACAAACAATTGCCACTTGGCAATTTAGCCATAGCTTGTGCTGTTTTCTTTAGTAGTCTTTGCCCAGCAAAGGCTCTAAGGAGCTATTCAACTATGAACATGTACAATATAAGCATGTCAACATTTCATAAACTCCAGAGAAGCTACATAGTCCCAGCTATTTCAAAGGTGTGGTCAAAACACCAAACTCAGCTATTATCTGAAAGGAAAGAGAAATCTGTACGGCTGGCAGGGGATGCAAGGTGTTGCTCACCTGGACATACAGGTATGTCCACACTAGTTTGGCTTCAATAAGTTATTTGGCTTACAAAATGCATGTGTAACTGGGAATAGTAAGAAGAATTGTGTGAAAACCATTATGAAATATAAACGTTTCACTGTATTTGATATATTTAACATGAGCATGTCTTGGAAGAAAAGTTGTGTCAATTGTATATAGTATGTATGTGCTTATGTATTACAGCTAAGTATGGAAGCTATACATTGATCGATGTGGACACACATCAAGTTTTGGACATCCAGTTGGTGCAGGTAAGAATACAATCTTGTCATAACATTAAATGACATGCACAGTATAAGAGTGAACATGCTCAGTTGTGTACAGTAATACTTTCTGATATCAAATACTTGAAAATGACTTAATTTACATTGCTCTGTTTCAGTCAAATGAAGTGGCCAATTCGAATGCCATGGAACTTGAAGGATTGAAAAGGGGCCTTGCACATCTTGAGAATGCCAGAGTAAATGTTTCAGACATAATAACAGACCGACACATTCAAGTAAAAGCCTATTTAAAGAGGGAGAAAGGTGGCATTAAACATTGGTTTGATGTATGGCATGTTGCTAAAGGTGAATAGTTTTTAAGACCCATCATATCATGATTAGACTTAATATTTGGTGTCATTGACACAGTTATGGCATGAAAATGCTTTTCAGAAAGTGGAATATAACTTAAATATTATTCGACAAATATATTAAATCACCTTAACCTTAACAAACACACTCCGAGGTTAGTTTTCTTCAATAACTTTTTTTTCTAACAATTGATGATCCATTGTACCAGCCGCATTTGATGTTTTCAGGTATTTACAAGAAACTTCAAAAAGTAAGCAAGAAGAAAGGCCTGGAAATAATCAGCCTGTGGGCACACTCCATTTCCAATCATATGTACTGGTGTGCTGCCACCAGCCATGGCAATGCTGAGGAGGTGCTGGCTAAGTGGTTGTCGATTGGCAACCACTTAGCTAACATACATAGTGGTCACAGTGAAACCTTTCCATCTTGTATGCATGGAGAAATTCAAGATAGAATTTGGATACCTGCTGGTATGTAAAATTAACCAAGCAACTTCATAATGTATGATATTACATTTTCATATGCAGCCTGACATTCAAACTTAATGAAGTTTTTGTAAAAATTGTAAGGATTATCACACTAAGCATCATCATTGGTTTGTTACAAACCCACACCCATCTTTCCATTTTCTTGATCTCGCCCACTCAGTCAGCTCCAACTGACCACTCACAAAATCAAATATTGCTCTGTGATTAGACATGTTCATCACTGATAATGAAGACAAAAATGGCATTCATTTTATAAAAATATATTAAAAAATGAATTTATTCTTCAGGAACACGAGCTCACAAGGAGATAGAAAGCATCCTAAAGTCCAGATATCTCCTGAAAGATATAGCCAAACTGTCACCTCATGGGCAGACATCATACCTTGAAGGATTTCATAGTGTCATATGTCACTTCGCTCCAAAGTTCTACCATTATCATTACAATGGTATGAAAGCAAGGTATGTACCAACTTACTATCAAAGAAAACTGTTCAATTGTTTTTTCACTGGATAACAATTAGCCATAACCAGTTTGCCTCACAATTTTGATAGGATTTACTTATTATAGTAACCCACTCAGAGCCAATAATAGAGCATACCATGGTCTCGGTCCTGCAATCAGAATTTTGAATTTCTTTTATTGTTAACTACACTTATATTTTGTGTATGCCATCATATAAAACAGTCAGTGGTGAAATTACTGTTTTAACAATAATAATATTGTAACAGGTTGTTGATGTCTGCCCTCCACTTCAATGAGAATGGAACACGACTGAAAGCACACACCAAAACAGGAGAAGAGAAATGGAGTGTCTCATATCCTAAGAGCAGAAACTGGGAGGCTACTGCTAAACCTCTCAAAACAAATCCAACATATGGTATGATATTAGTGATATGCAACTTTCATGACATTGTTCAACTTTTCCTATTATACACAGGCATAATGCGCAATGATGGACTTTTCTTTTATGACAATGACGACATGTAGCCGGTAATGTATATTTGGTATTTACTTTTTCAGAATATATTGGCGAGCTGTTACAGGAGGTGTCCGACATTCGAACAGAATTTCCAAGTTGTGCCCTTGCTGACAACTCCCTAAATGAACATCAGCCACCCTGCATGACTGAAACTCACGGAAAGAAACGGGAAAAACAAATCGTTGTCAGAAACCATAAAACACGTTTCCTTTAAAACAATATTTATTCTAGTGAGAATAAAGAAATCAAGTATATACATCTGATGGAAATGTTGCACGTATAACATGGACAACACAAGAAGGAATCACCTTGCGATGATTTTTTCCCAATTTCTGCCAAATCCAGTATGTAAATCTTCTGTAGGCCAGATGTCGATAGATTCTGAAAAATATGAATAGGATTTTAAGTACACATACATTTTTCCCTATTTCAACATGCTGAACTTTTTTAAAATTTCGAGAAATACTACATCCATTTGGATAAAGAGTATGAGGTTTATGGTTCTAGTTAGTGGGGTGTTTTTTGTGTATTTCAAGAATGTGTCTGTTTGATAGTGGCATGTCTGATGAGAGGGTGGTGTCACTTTGGAGGAAGAAAATATGGTAGATGACAAGAGGGATAAAGTTCATCAATAACTGCATTCATTACATTAACAACAGGTCAAATTATATTGTACTGTGAAGCATTTCGAGTCGGGGTCACCTCAAATGTTTTATGTTTTTTAACATCTTTAATCCTCGCCAAGACACGAGGGCCTGTGATTATTGTGTAGGGTTGATCTTCCAACTAGGTCTATTGTGTAGGTCATATTTTCATCCAGTACTATACATCCTCAGATGGTTTGGTACACCAATCCGGTAGCAATTGTTGCTTTTATACACTTGTTTACTTTCCTGTTTTTTTCTTATATTGCAAATCCATCATATCAGGTCATCTCAACTCAACTTACATCCATTTAACTATGTACCAATTACGTGATTTTAATGAGTAGTAATATTAAAATAGCCTCTGTTTACTGTAGGGGCCTTGCCGAAAAACAGAAACGGAAAGAAATTATGAACATCTGGCGGAAAGGAATTGCTCAGTAATCTGAGTAATGAGTTAGAACCTATTATGAGAAATGAATGGGGCATTCAAATTATTAATACACTAAAACAGTTAAATGAAGGCTCCAGTAACAAAAGCATAGCATGATTTACCCGTATAAGGCTTATGAGGTACTACTTTTCTTGTTTAATTTCTCTGGATATACAATATTATGGAAATGGAAAAATATTGCTCTTTTTCAAATCCATCTACAAATACATGGTCTGTATCTTGTTTTAAGAATGCAAATAATAATTTTAAAAATATAAGCATATTTCGGTATATTACTTGTGTATTGGTTCATCATCACCTATGGGGCCACTGCTGTCAATGAATTCATTGTAGTATGCCTCCATACTATACTTGCTCAGTGATACGTCATGGAGGCCAGGGTGAGAAGTAATGCAGTTGTGAGTTGATGTATCAAGCTTTTCCCTGATTGGAGCAACATCCTGACAACATAGCTCCTCTACTTCAGACTGCATGTGAACGCAGTGACCACAAGTGCACCTGTAACATTATCGAATGAGTAGTAATTTTACTTTGAAAAATCAATTGACTTGTATACTCATGAAGAAGCTGTTTTTTCCTGCAGCATAAATTCATATTTGCATTTATATTTATTGTATGTGTGTGTGTTTCATATCATATCATAACATATTTGAATGAAGAACTTTTTCAACAGTTTCCAAGAGCTACTACAATTTTCTCATTAACAGTCAAAGGTCAGAAAAACTAATAACCATTGATCAATGAATGTACCGGTTTACAAACAAAACATGTCACTGTCAGTGCAGTGTACCCTATTTTCGTGTTACTCAGATAAGATGTCGATAACGTATACTGGATGTAGCAACTTGTTTTCAATCGAGTGATAGTAGATATGGAAAAAATATACATTATATGTAAACTAAAGTTCGTTCACTGTCGTTCTTTGATCCAGGTTTTGGTTAGAAAACACGGTAAACCGGAAAGTTGATGTGCTGCGGTTTCACACACCCGATTTCACAGAAAGTAATGTAACCACCATATTATGAAAACACATTGCGAACACAAAGGAACATATACAATGCATACTCTTTATAATCAGACATGGTGTTCACATAATACAAGAGTGTATTTATTTGTCTGATTTGTCAACGTTGTAAACGTATTTCCGGTATTACGTGCCCACGGTAATGACTGCGTTGGGAAACGAAACCATCAGAACTACGTACGTGTTTGGGGAAGAGAAAGCGAACTTTACTCAAGGAAAACGACAATAATACTAGAATCTAGTGAAAACTGCCTGTGAAGTTAGATGTAAGTGTTATCTTCAATTATTGTTTGGACAGGCATTCATATTTGGTGACACTGACACTAGTGACGGGGATGGACCAGGCGAAAAGCAAACGAAGAGTGCTGGTTATCAGGCATAGCAAGCATCACTACAAATAAGTTTATATTTTGAAATGTACGTTATTTAGATAGAAGTAATATTATGATCTTACCACGGTGGTCTCGATGAGTGGGACTCTGCGCTTGACGACACAATGTTTGAAGACAAAAGGTCTTCACTAGGTTCCAAATAATCGTATCTCGTCTTTATTTAAGTCCGGGAAATTAGCCCTTGTCGGTTCAAAGGAATATGGTTGGACGTTTTCTTGATTCAGTGAAAATTCTTCGCTGTCAGACGACGAGTCCGAGGCCATGTTGTTTATGACAGTAAACTGGTACTGGATGTCTTTCACGTCAGATTAAGACAAGCTACCACTTAGAGTGGCACCAATTACGTCATATCTAAGGGGGGTAACTCAGGCCTGTTTCGCTCTGAAATCGAATGCTTCATAACGGCGCACCATTTTCACACGTATTTTTAGGTTCAAACTATTAATATGAAAAAGATGAGTGCATATATCCAAAAATGAATAAGTAATAATTCTAAAACTGAATTTTGATTCATGCAAGAAACAAAACGATATTTTCGTGTACACTTGCCCTTTAAATAGGCCTACTAAGAAGCACGCTCCGTCAATCATACAACATGAGTGAGTGAGTTAAAATTTATAGTCACATCAGCAATATTTCAGCCATATTGTGACTTAAAATAGTTGTAAATTCATTATAAATGCACAAAGTTTAAAAACCTGTCGACGAAGGACAGTAAAACCAACTAGTACATCACAGTAACAAGAAATAAAACTAGCATATGTCACTAAAAGAGGATTTCAAATTAGGACAATACAATATAAAATAAGGCTGAGGATCGCCAACAACTGAAGGTAGATAATCACTCTAGGGACCATACAACATGACACAGATGCATTTAAAACAAATGAAAGTGCAGTAGATAATGTAAAACCAAACGCCAAACACACGCACATATAGCGTGTATGTAAATGTGGTACAATATTGTAGGCGTATTAACGCACTTCTTCTTCGAGTACTGATAGAAATATAATCTAAAGAAAACATGACAAATCTTCTCATTTGATCGTTCTCGCGTCGGAGTTTCACATAAAAGGCGTCAGTGCAAAAGTATCCTTTCGAAGTCGAGTCTATCCTCAGACACGGATTCCGGTCGGTGTACATGGGAAACTAGAAACATTATGAATGTACCACTGAAAATCAGTAACGACACCAAGTATTTTTTGCCCTCCCGGTAACACTCGTCATTCACATACTGTTTCTGCAAAGGTAAGAATTTATAGCCTTGCTGCGCCATTGTCATTATTCCACGGTGGCCTGTGAACAAACCAGACAATCAAGTGATCGATGTTGTGTAGAAGTTCTGATATTCCGATGTTGATAAGTAAAAAATAGATTCGTTTTACAACAAAGGGGTCTGGATTAATGACCAAACGTTTCTTTTATAGTCTATTCACCATGAATAACAGCTCATGGAAGAAAAGTACGCAAATATGTGTTGAGGCAGACATGGGAAACGGATTAAACAGGTAAATAAGGAAGTAAGATGTGTATTTGTGAGTTAACCTGGCTCACGGGTTCTGCTGCAGTACGCTTAGACACTGACCCGGGCAATGACTACCGAACGGCAGTCTTCACTACTGGTCGACACGTCATCTATTTACTACAGAAAAATCCGAGAACGGGTGGTTAGAATTTTGTCATAGCATTTTCATCGTTAAAAAGGCAAAGTATGCGTCACCAGAAAACGCCCATCGTTACTTTCTGTGCACGAAAACGTTATTTAAGCAGTTTTGAGACACGAAAGTCGTCGTTACTTGGGCGAAATGTAAACAATAACACACACACACACACGCACGCACGCACACACGCACATACGTGCACCTATTTTCAACACCGACATGTGCGTTGACATTTTCTGTCAGCTCGCTATTGTCACGAAATCGTAAACATAAAACAAAGTCGCCATTTGGTAGTCATTGCCGGGTCAGTGTCGAAGCGTAGCGCAGGAGACCCCGGGAACCAGGTTGTTGTGAGTTGTACTGGGCGGACGTGCACATAAGGTTCCTTAGAAATCGGGAAATGTAAAGTGCACTATATGGTGAAACATGGCACCATTATCCAGTCAAGCAATACAAAACAAATCAGAGGCATTTGCTTCACCGATGAATCTTTCTCAATCCGACTTTTGAATGTGAACGGAACCCTGCCCGATGCCTGCGGTGACTTTGAATCATATCCCAGAGAGGACCCTGTCAGTAAATGAGATTAATGCTCTTTAAAATATGTTGGACTAAGAAACAGTGAAACAAGGCAATGAACCTTCTAGAAGAGAAATGTGCGATCAAATCTACGAATCAGAGCTTTGAACACCTCAACTCAAGAGCTAACAAAATGTCATCGGTAATTTCAGGGAAGACATAAACAGCTTGTATTCAACGTTGACAGTACGGATGACAGATTAGAGCACCTACAATGTTTCACCAACTACATAAGACGGTGAGAATGGAAAACGTAGGTGAAATCTGACAATAATGTTCGTTAGTATGAGCTAAAATGGCTAACAACAACGCAGATTATACTAGCATGCAAAGAAGGAGAAAGAACCAAACTGCATTTAAATTGCATATACTTGGTTTTAGACAGCCAAGTGCGCTGCAGTATTCTTATTTAGTCGGGAGGTCCAAAATTTATTCGGGAGTTGACGTTCCCCGCTTAAGTGAAACCCACGATCACCGGTATTGGTTCCACTACGCTAAATCAGAATCACATGCTCCCTGAGCGAGTCCCGTATGTAAACAACTGAAGAGAGAGAGAGACATGTGGCAGCTGTGATTGGATGAAATAGTGTCAGATATTTATATTTTTTACAAGCACATCCATCCAGTAATTAAAACTGACCACCATTTTAAGTATTTAGTGCTGTCATTTTATCACCATGACTTATGCTTATTGTGTACAGATATTTTCCAGTAGGTGACATTTGGTGCGGAACTCGGGTTGATGTGTTCCGCTTCCTGTGCTCGGAAAATTAGCCGGACAAGTTGACCAGAAGTTATGTGTTTTGTAGTTTAAAGGCCAGACTGTACCCATGGAATGGCTGTTGATAGCCTGGATAATCTTTTAAAAAATATAAGGTTACTATAGACGTCTATGGGAAAACATTTGGTTTTGTGTACCCGGTAGTGCTGACAACCTAGAAACATAAATAGTGTCTGGCTTATCCATGGGACACAGCTCTTCTCAGCGAATTACGGCACCTGAGACAACCGGTACTTATTGTGAATGAAGACGTGTATGATCCACTGGTAACAGACATGGGATAAAGACTTGCAAGGACATTGAACATGCTCCTGTCCAACACACCCATATTTTGTTATACTGACTTGTCGACAATCGCTTGTCACAGATATCATTTTAAACACAAATCGCCATCGACAGAGAGCAACCACCAACGGCCATCCGATGAATCAGGCCTGGTGCAAAACACAAAGGCCGGAAAACCACACGAACTGATCACCAAGCGTTACTTCTGAATAAGCTTTATCAATCTGAAAATGTACATTGATTTAAAGGAAAATTGCGCGTATATCAAAATGTAATAGACGCAGAAGAAATCAGGAAGAAAATGAGAAGTTAAAATAAACCCGTTGTTTATCTGTTGTGGCTGTCGTTTATCGCATCAGATTGCAGTCCAAAAGTGTTTTGACTTGTCTTACGCATTGTAGAAATACTGCGTAGATTTAGGGGAGACCTTTACGAACGACATATACCCAATAAAATATAAAAGCAGACTGTATAACGACTACCAGATTAGATGACCTATGTACAAAACAAAACGTGCAAGTCAGATTTCACCGTTATAAGATCAACCGTAATAACAGGTCACACTGTATTGTTTTACATGTCTTAAAGATTTCACTTGTTTTTCCGCAGTGTTCAGAGCTATGTGAGTCTGTAGTGAGTACAATCAACAATGACAGTTTTTATACACAGGCATTTTTGTGAAACAATCCGTTTCACTGGGCAGTGGGGTAGCAAAGTGGTTAATGCGTTTGCTCGTCACGCTGAAGTTCTGGGTTAGATACTCACATTGGTACGATGTTTGAAGCCCGTGTCTGGTGTCCCCCGCCCTGATATTGCTGCAAGTAGCGTAACACACACACACACTCCGTATTTCACTCAAGAGGGGATCGTAAGAACCCACCCTAAAACCCATTTATGACACTAGTGCGGATAGAAACACAGCAAAGAGACCAAAGGTGTCCCAGACTGGCGAGAGGAAACAATTCGCTATTTGCGGCATGTTTTAATGATCTAAGCCGTTCTGATCCCTGGACCGGTTAGCAAGACCACTGAAACTTTCCCTCTTGTCAATGTTTCTTACTCCGTCCTAACATTCCGAGTTGTCCTTCACATACACAATAAATTGTGGGGGTGAGTAACTTTAGTTTACGCCGCTTTCAGCAATATTCCAGCAATATCACGATGGTGACACCAGAAATGGTTTTCACACATATTGTGCCCATGTGGGGAATCGAACCCAGGTCTTCGGCATGACGAGTGAAAGCTTTAATCACTAGGCTACCCAACAGCTACACAAGAAAAAAAGATGCTTTTAACATTAGTAATTGTGTTCAGCGATGATAGTTCATGCCAATTAACGATGATTTTGTGAAGAACCTGTGCAGATATCTCATGGATAATCAGTAACTACAAGAATCCGACGACTGACATTTAGACAAGCATCTCAGAAGAAAGGATGCGCAGCATATTAGATGTTGCTCACATTGGCAATTCAGTCTTCCTTCTATGCAAAACCTAATAAGCACATACACTTACATGGAACTTTATAGATATCGACAGCTAAAAGTAAGAACTCATCATTCTCCAAATAGATACTCACTGTTCTGACACAGTGTTGCTGCTGCTGGCTTATACATCCCATCTGTACAGAGACACTTCATGTTTGACGCTGCAGTCTGTATACACTGAATGTTGGGGTCTGTAGTGTCACACACGAGTGGGTTACTGCATACACCACCAAAGACTTGTCCTGAAAGTAACATGATGGTAGTACAGAACTGTCTGACACATAGGTGGGTGGTGATACATGCCTCTAACGCTCATTAAACATTTATCATACTATCTAATCTAAGGAGTGAAAATGTTTGTTTTAATACCGCGTTGAACAGTGACACATTTCTACGACGTTTGTCACCTTGGTGAAACCCATGAACATATGATACAAACACACGTATAAACATGGTCGGGTCTAACAGGGATTCGAACTCATGGTCATAGGAGTACAACTCTGCACCGCGAATTATGAGACTTTAGAGGACCGTGCTACGTGTACCAACACCAAACTAAAGATGAACCTAACCAGATGAAAGAGGATAATAAGCAATATCCCACTGAAACCAGTAATTTTAATAGCGTATGTCCCTATATATATTTTATATATACATGCATTACATGTCATAGTACTATACACTTGTCTTATAACCGCGCTGATGTCTGTAACTGTATTTAGTATTTCCGATGTCCCTGGCAGGAAAATTTAAAGAATATTTCTAAAAGAGACCTAAGCCCATACCCATTCACAAGCACCCCCTTGTTTGATTTCAGTACCCACGTCAGTGTATGAAATAAGCCCAAAATCCAAATGTAACCAGCCCCAAATGGATTTAACCAGACCAAATATGGTGAATTTACTCAGATGCATGGAACATCTAAATTTTTTACCAGACCATCTGGCTGGCTAGATGTAAATTTAGACCGTCCGTCAGAAATCTAGACCGTCTCGGTCGGTCGGACGGGCCTTATTTCATTCACTGACCCACGTACAAGTATTCCTGGTAGGGCAAAAGAGCACATTCAAGCCTTGGAGTTATAAACTTAATCCCTGGTCAAGTTGTGACAGTAATGAATGAGTGAAAGTTGACTTAGCTACTTGTTGTAAATGTCCTTTGGTCCGAGGTAATCAGCTGACTCCTGCCGTAGAGTGTGATGATAAGTTCAACTGTGACAGTGTATGTTGATCCTGGAGACAAGGGCTGGATGTTGTAGCTCTTCTGGTTTTCAGTAACTGATGCTGGAGAACCTGTAGTTCCTGGAGTCCACGTTACTGTATAGCTGGATGTGTACCCTCCAGTTACATCTGTATTGGTCCAGTTGATGGCAATATTACCTGTGCCTATAGTTGGTTGAACTGTGAAGACTGGTTTTAGAACGCTAGCTGAAAGTATGCATATTAACATTGATAAGGGAAAGCGAACACTTAACATCTGGGATAATTATCATCTGCAAGATTATTGGCTATAAAGGATTATGACCAATTCTCACGAAATGTGCACCAATTGTGTAATTTCTTGTCGTAGGCACTTAAGTTGAATATTTGGGGTTTCTTGGGGTTTACTATGACTTTTATCTCGAAGAACCACTTATTCAAACTGATAGCATGTGTACATATGGTGTTTAGTACAATACATACCAGTATAAACACCTCGTTTTGCCCATTTTGCTCTTGTCGCACAATGGGGGTGGTCTAATAAAACCATTCTACTTAATCATTATATACACTGTAGGTCAGGGGAAACTGTATCATGAAGACCTTCGGTGCTTGCAGTATCGAAGGGCATATACCTCTTTGCAACAGCCCATAACAGAAAAAAACATATGTTTCGACATGTTGTCCCCAATTTTCTGTAATCTTCGATACATTTCTTTTTTTTCAATTTAAACATGTACAATGTACAAAGAAACTGTTGTATAATGGTCAAACTAACTGAAAATTGCTCAACAAATTCATTTATAGGAAGTAATTTCATCTCTTACGGGTGCTATTCTTTGTCATTGTGTCGAAAGTTACTCAAAGAAAGGTTTGTTTTAAGCCTGTAATCTACGGGACTGTCCTGCTGTCAATATTACACTGCCTGCCGATGTCTCCACCCTGTGCATGCAATAGACGACAGATATACATTAACCTCATGGCCTGATTAGAGTCAAGTAACACATGATTTTAATATGACAAGGTAAAGAAAGTCAAGGTGTAATTTTCGTGATGTAATTTTCGTTACCACATTTAAGACCTTGTATCTAAGTCCTTGTTTTATGGTGGTAAGCATGGCTGGGATGTTTCCCTGTACAAATGGGACTTACATCCCTTTGTGAACATCGCGGTTTAGAGCGCCCATTGCACTTTGACGTCAAGAAGACGACTTTGAAAACGTCAAATGACAGAAGGTGTTATCTGATTGACTGTCGACCAAAGAAAGGTATGTATACTTGTCAGTGTATATGTGTATACCATCATAGTATGTTGTTCATACATAAATTCCTTCCCTGCTCGTATATTTTGGAAATATTAGACAGTGCAGCAAATACACTGATGGTAACGTGATTACAGACGACTGGACTTTTTGAAACAAACTTACATCCACACTGTTGAAAGATTATTGATGAAGGTTCCTTGGATGTGATTTCGTTTTGCCCTTTATGCAAAGGATTTTATGTTTTTCATATATGCGGTATAAAGAGGACATTTATTTACATTGAGACAGTGTCTCAAAGTAGTGGTAACGAAGATTACAAATATTTCAGAATTAGATATTTCCTTCAAATTCCGAAGCTATAGAGAAACGTAAATCAATGTTTTCAAGACTGGCAGAGTTGTCTGTTCGGCAAAAAGAAGTCTGTCATCCAAGATGCCGAGGAATTGTTTAAATGGGGAACGGAGAACCACAAAGGCTGCTCCTATCTATGCGTCAACAGTGACGAGATTGCTGCTGTCAAGGAGGAACTTCAGGAACTGACTAAGACCACAGTCCCCTTGAAAGGAACCATGAAAATTCATGCAATCATTGGAACATCAAAATGAAACATAATGGCAAGAAAAACATCTTGCTACTGTTCCATGTGTCCGGATGGTAATTACCACACTGATTGGTTGCCCTCCTCTATCTTGAAGCCCACTGCTCCTCAACCGGATGTTGTTACACCAGAGCCTTGAGTAGAACCTTCAGTAGAACCACCGGTAGAACGTACAGCAGAATCGTCGACAGAATCTTCATCAGAACATCCAGCAGATCTGGAACACATTGATCCTGAGCAGAAGCAAGCTCCTGCTACACATCAACCCCGCACAGTCGTACCTACCAGTGGTGACTTCATTGCTGCTGTGTACCAAGGCAATTGGTATCTTGGAGTGGTCAAAGAGGTGGACCCGGATGACAGTGATTGTCATTTCAAATGGCCAAGACGTTCGGATGAAATCTGGGTGTCATTTGAGGATATTCTTTGCACAGTTCAGCCCTCTCAAGCCACTGGTTATTATCGGCGCGCTTTCAAACTAACAGCGCATGATGAAGCACACATTACCATGGGTTTCAGAAATGTGTTGTAATTTACGACACCATTCCACAAGCAGTTAATTTGACAATTTCAGGATATTTAACAGAGCCATGTAGCTGTTCTTTTCAGTATGATTCGTTAGTTACTTGATTGCACGTTCCTCGCGTTGTCTCGTTGTATTTCAGAAACCTGGAAATTTCGTTACTAATAGTTGTAATCTACAAGACATTTTCAGAATGGTCGACAAATTGTTATCTTCATTATTCTGTATTTGATTCTTAAACAATGTTTCTGTGGCAGTGTTGGTATTTAGCCTTATATAAAAGTTTGTTTGGTAGATATATGTAAGCTAGGGCTAATTGAATTGAAAGTGATGTTATCCTTGCACACAAGTTCTTGAGAACACAAGTTATTGTTTTAAAGAAAGCTGTGTCCTATCTCTGATGACAGAACACATACTGACCGTGACTATTCATATCACCTGACTCCCGGCAGTAATGAACAATATAACATCATGTGTGTACTTGCTTTCTGCAGAAACTACTGGCATGTGTATGTAATCTATGTGCATAACATAGATTACATTGTGAAAAATGAGGGGTCAAGTTTAACCGACCACACAGAATTTACTTTTAGAGTTTGACCTGAAAACTTACATGTTAACTCTTAGGATGGTGTACTTACACCATCTTAATTTAAAAAATAAAATATTGAAGTTGACTTTTCAACAGTTTGTCATGTTTGATGGTGCACATTTCGTGAGAATTGGTGTTATAATGTATGTCTTAGGATAGTGACGAAGAACCCAAACATATTTATGAACATCAGTATTCATGCATTTTCTGAATTTTAGAAAAGAGGCAAAGTATTTTATTGACGAGGGCTTCTCTATTATGTTATAATGCGGCGTTTGATACAAATCATCATACGGTTGTCAGGCAAAAGTAAAGTGCTTCAGCACAGCACAGACCTATATACATCTAACTGTGATACTGTATGCTGTTCCTGGAGACAGAGACTGGATGTTGTAGCTCTTCTGGGTTATAGGAGCAGATGTTGAAGATCCTTGAGATCCAGGAGACCACGTTACTGTATAGCTGGATGTGTACCCTCCAGTGACATCGGTATTGGTCCAGCTGATGTCAATATTACCTGCTCCTATAGTTGGTGGAACTGTGATGACTGGTTTTAGAAGGACAGTCGACAGTCGACCTCTAAACATCTCAGCCCTGGTTCGTGTAGCTGGTAGAAATCTGCCACGTAGGTGACGTAGGACGATTTGACGGTCTTCTGCTCGTGACGTCACACGTGGACGACCCGACCTTGAGCGATCAGAAGTCATACACAGTACGACGGCTGCATCCCATTGCTCTTGCGACGTCAATAACTGATCTTCCCGCTTGCAACATGCCAACGTTCACGTTGCACATTTGACAATCGTGACATTTCAAGTACCGTTAGAACTGTGGTTTAAAGGTGTTTTTTCAATTCTTGAGGCCAATGCAAACACGTGCATATGAAGAAAACTTCGATGCAAAGATCATGTGATCGACTGCACGTGCAAAACCTGATTTGGCACTAACGTCATTTGCACGACGAATGGATGGGGTTGAGTGGGTTTTGCTAACGTTTTACTAGAGTCGAAAGATAGGGATCCCATTTTGGATACATAGATGTATCATCAGAGAAAAACTATTCATTATTTTTCAAATTACATTTTGTGAAGTTTCTTTTATGACTCAGTATATCTATGTGTACAATCGTGTTTTTTGTAACTGGGAATGCATACTTATATCGCCATAAGCCTTTTGGATGCTTTGGCGTTCATTGTTTACAAAATATACACGAGGACAAAGGGTGTGTCTAAACGTATTATTTTCACTTTTATTAAATGAACGTAAAATCGACTTTAGATCTCTGACAACAGCTGAATCAAATTTACCGTATGTATTTGTCTATTATATTTTATTCTTTTCCTTTAAATGTAAGAGTAGACACTAAAATTCAAACTAGATAACATTTTGATATTCGTAAAGTATCATTGAAAAAATACACTATAGTCCTTCAACTTAACTTTTGGTACCCTGTTTTTCACAATTTACATAAAACTCCTGAATATTTTAAAACACTGCTCTGTTCATATGGTAATTGTATACGGTGACCTAACAAGATATCGATTTTAGTAATTTTAAAACTATTTTTAAAGATTTTGTCTTTAAACCTGTCATATAATAATTGTAAAAATGTGGAGAGTTTTACGAGGGGTTAACGCACCTAACGGAAAAGCCAACAACACTGTAAAATGTGTGTCAGCGTGATATGTACATGCACGGGTATTTACATTAGCACGCTTAAGTAATGTCACAGATTGTCCACACGCACAGGTTGTAGGGAAAACGATGTTGTACAAAGATGACCGGCAAATCGTCAAAAGAGTTTACAATTTTTTCAAGCGCGAGGAAAAGCGAAAAAAATCCTTTTTTTTAATTGAATGTTTCTCCAAAAGACATTTAATGCCACGAAGATCTGCAAAATAATATTGCAAAGAGTTATCTCCCATAACACTATTTCAGAGCCTGACGATGACATGGCAGTTAAATCGGGGACCGTCTCAAATCATGCAAAGAAAACAAAGCTTGATGAATTCGATAGAAGGATTGTGAGGGACGTCATGCGTCGGTTACATCGATCCATATTGTCAAGCAAACTGACGAAAGTATTGTTCAAAAGAAGACCATGACATCATTGTATCAAAGCATATCATATGCAAGCTGTTGCTCAAATCTGGATATAGATACAAGAGATCAAGCAACCAGTCTTTAAAGACTTCAATGAATCTACTTGTTTAAAATGGATTTATGATGATTAAACAGTCCCTCTAGATTTGCTTGCAGGCGTAACAATGTAAACAAGATGCACGCGTGTCACACCATGCTGTTGGCTGTTCCATCGTATCATTTTACTCCCTTGTATAACTACTTCTATTTTTCATATTTTTATAAGATGGCTTCTGAAGAAGAAGCTTTAATAATTGACATAAAATTATGAAATTTAAACCTTGGATACGTCATAAGATATAAAGAGCGTATGAGCAAAAACATTTTGAAGGCATTTTTTGTTTAAAAGGTAAATCGTGAAAAACAGGGTGCCAAAAGTTCAGTTGACGGACTATAGATGCCTTAAAAACACGAAAATGTTCAAAAACACTATACTGCTACATCAATAAGCGATGTTTGTGTCAGATATATTTTGTGCTATAGACCAAAAATTGGCACCGCTGCACTGAACATTTCTCATCTGGATGTAATATAAACACAAAGAACTTAATTAAGCACCCCTTCTAGTTTTGCAATGATTGGTTTTAAACACGTACATAAAGCTTTTCGTGGTGACCACGATGGAAAACACGACTTTCTCTGAACCGTGTCATCTTTTGACTCATACAAAGCGGTGCCTACAGCTCAGAAATAAGTACAAGAACTCCCATACGATACTTACTTTCCGTACAAGATGATGTCGTTGGTGATTTGTACATCCCATTCTTACAGAGGCATCTCTTCTCTGTTGACACTGTAGTCTGCACACACTCGATGTTCTGGTCTGAGGTGTCGCACTGGGTCCCGTCAGTACATAGTCCACCAAAGACTTGCTCTGAAAGTGACATGTGGTATTAACACAGCAGTATGTTTAAAAAGCAGTTTATTAAGAACCTTCGAACGTAATTATTACAATGATCTTTGATAATGAGTACCAGAATGGGTGGACCTAAAACTGAAAGTGTCTTGCACAAGTCTACATCAAACGTTTTAAAAACTTTACTGAATTCGCCAGTGTTGTAACCCGGATCAAATAACTTTTGTGCAGAGTAGCGTAATATCAATGAATAAGCATGACAATGAGACGTCCTAAACGCGACAGAACGATAGGAAAAACGCCATCTATATACTTCACTGAAACTTTAGTGACATTTCACTGCCAATATCTTTACATTGGATACTGCATGTTGAGTTGGAATTGAAATATTATCATAATCGGTGTTCCAGATCTTTGTGTTTCGAAAATATGCATGGTTACACGAAATTGGAGGTGGGATCTATGTTTGACCAGCCGCATGTTACATGTTTTGTGTGCTTGTTTAGCGGAGATTTAAGGACGGTAATAGGCGAGGTGTAGCCAAGAGATTAATACGTTTGCTCGTCAAGCCGAATACCCGGGATCGATTCCTCACGTGGGTACAATGTGTGATACCCTTTTCTGGTGTTCCCCCTAATATTTCTGGAATATTTCTAAAAGAAGTGTAAAATTTTACTTACTCACTCAGGACGATAAACCGCCACTATCTCACTTCGCTTTTTTGAGTATGACTCTTTCTTCATGGTATTGAAATATGTCATTCAAACGGCTACGAGTCACATATTACACTTTACAACAATGCATTATTGCTGTCACGACTTTGTCAAGCCGATGATGAACAGGCAGCCTGTTCATGCACAAGGATACGATACAGAACACCAATAACAGAAAGCACCATCGGGGCTGTATATGCACATTCACCTGGTGGCAAAGCAAAGTGTTGCTAACACGATAAAGTGAACCGTGCCTCAACACTTACAGGCCATCGATGAACTGCAAGAATTCATACTGTGTTGTGATAAATGATCAACTTGGAAGGGAAACGATGTCTCATTGCAATTATTTTGAATCAAACAAGCCCAATGGGCTCCTAACACACGAAAACAAATATCTGTTTTCATTGTCTTCAGTTGGTTATGGTCATGACGAGCAATTAATTAAGAATTGATCTTGCAACATTTGAATGACTCTTTTGAAACATATTAATCACAAACAATCTATGTTATAAATAATTTAGCTTAGTCGTCAGGTTGTGAATACAAAAAGTGATTATTCATGTCTTGATGAGATGGCCGCCATACGACTGAAATGCAAACTTAGGTACCTGTTGTTGTAAATGCCCTTGGGTCCGAGGTAATCGTCTGACTCCTGCCGTGCTGTGTGATGGTGTATATAACTGTGACAGTGTATGCTGTTCCTGGAGACAGGGACTGGATGTTGTAGCTCTTCTGGGTTGTAGTAGCAGATCCTGGAGATCCTGGAGACCACGTTACGGTATAGCTGGATGTGTACCCTCCAGTGACATCGGTACTGGTCCAGCTGATGTCAATATTACCTGTTCCTATAGTTGGTGTGGCTCTGATGACTGGTTTTAGTGGGCTAGCTGAAAGTATACATGATTACATTATATATAAGTAAAGGCCAACAATTAACATCTTTGATAATTACCACCAACAGGGTTATTGGTTATAAAGGATTATCGATGTGTGCCTTAGAGCAGTAATGATATGTCCCTGGAATATGTATTTCGTACACGTACTTTGGTTTGGTTAGTAGGTTATCTGAATATATACACGTTGAAATAGATGTATTGGTAAAGCGAATGACTCTTGATATTATATATTTTAGTACTGATGTTTTGTTAATTAACAAAACTTCTAAACAAATTGGAAATTCGCGTTTGCTTTACTTGAGTGATTGTCATTCGTAAACGGTGCTCTCGTAATGGGAGGTGATTGTGAACAGGTCAGATGTAGGCAGACATTCAGGAATAACCTTGTTATTGTTTGTTCAGTACAAGCAGTTTCTAATTCTTCAACAGTTGTAAATCCAACTCGGATACTATACGGGTAGTAAAAGTATCGTATGTCCCAACATTGCCTAGTGCGGTGACATAACACTGGCAGCCCATAATCTGTAGCCTGGCTACACACCATGTTTAGAGCGATTCTGTAATAATCTAGATGTTTTACTGCTCTTCGTTGGCAGCTTATATGTACTAGTCTGAATGTATTTATTATAAGTGAATAAATAATAGTCACAATAAAGCTGAAATACTGCCGATGTTACTTTAAACCCACTCACTTGACAATGATATTTTGTAACTGTTGTGTCCCTTCTAACAGAAACACACCTTCACTGAGAAACAAAACATTTAGTGTGGGGCCCATACATGTACATGAAGGTACACACAATGTGTTGTCGATATGGTTAGATTGGGGATGGCAGTGTCATGATGTGATATGTCATACACATGGTGGACGTGCAGGGACATTTGACAACGTTTATGACGGAGGTTAAAGTCTCGAGCATCCCTATTCCGGACCCCGACGAGAGATTTTCAACAGGAGAACGCCTGATCGCATATTGCATGTGTCAAGGTGGACATGATACATAATCTAATATAACTGTGCTTCCCTTTACGGTGCTGAATTTTTTGTTTCAATCAGTTTGACAATAAACGTCTCTACGTGAAGGTTTAATTTTAAAGATATTTGCTTCGGTTAAGAAATATCATTTACAATGTAACCTTGGAATGTTGTCATTTTTAACAATGCGTGTCTTTTGCTTTTGATGGAGTATATATAACCGGATTTAAACAGCGATTATTTGATTCCAAATTTCCAAATCCTGTTTATCAACATTAGTTTGAATCAATTACTACGGGATAATACCAGCTGTCGGCTTAATACACACTTGAGGGAACGAACATTAACGACCGGCCTGACGGGTGAATGCTTTAACCTGAGGGCTGCCGCTTCATTCTCCGGTGAATACTTCACCATTTTGGCAGCTTAATTGTATTTACATCAGTGTCAAGGAAGAGCAAATACTGATCAACAAAAATCGTGAATGATAACGTCCACTGATTTATCAAACAGACAAATATTATCAAATATTTGTGTTTTTCCATCACAACTGTATATTCATTATTTTAAGAAGTTTAGGTATTCTTTCACAACTTAAAGCTTTGAAATACACAATGCCGTTTAGAAAGTGGTCAGATGTGACATATGTCATATTTGGGATTGCACTTTCTTAGTAAATGGCATTGTGTTACATTTGACCACTTTCTAAATGGCATTGTGTATTTCATAGCTTTCAGCCGTGGAAGCCGTGCCAATTAACACTTATCAGAGGGGTACACAAAGTACATCCTGACTCTGAGGATGTGGGTTCGAATCCCGGATGGGACTCAACCCAACAAAAGTACTAGAATCTGAACTTTACTAAGAACGTGCAAATATGACATATGTAAACTTAAAGCTTAACATAATAAGGAATCCAAAAGCGACAACACCGATGTTCTAGTAACATGATTCGACGGTGAAAATTGTTGTTGAAATCCGCACACTCAAAACCGGTAAACATAATTCTATGTAAACGCCTAGGGATTTAACGAAAATATGATATGGACCTGAGATGTGAGTATACTTTCGCAAGTTTCATTGACGCAGAAATTCAGTTTTACGGAACAGAAATAATTATCTAAGTTAAAAATCTTCTAACTTTCATCTATTTCATTGTCTCATTTTCCTGAACTTTCCAAAACCAATAATATCAATGATTTGGCGTCTGTTTCTATATCCAAGATTTACATGGCAAGAGGGAAATGTGTTTTTCCAGCAAAGAACTGACTTGATTCATTTATGTTTTATCTAATTAAAGGTAGGCCGCCGTGATGTTGCTGGAATATTGCTAAAAGCGGCGTAAAACCAAACTCAGTCAGTCAGTCAGCCTAAAAGTAGGAGAGGAAGCGACCATTTGAACGCTAAAAGTTAACTATTTAATACTTACTTTCAGCGCAAGATGTTGCATCTGGCCTATACCATCCATCCGTACAGAGACACTTCATGTCTGTTGCAGTCTGTATACACATTATGTTGGAGTCTGAGGTTGTGTCACACTGGGACGTCTCTGTACATGATTCGCCGAAGGCTTTTTCTGAAATGTATCATTACATACAGCACATACAGTTATGAATTGTCAGCAAAATCCATGACACAAATAATACGCAACATAGAACTAGAAATTCAAATTATAATAAACAAGAATTCAATTTTACATGCGACATGACCTGAAAATAAATTACTCTTGGCGGCAACCTTTTCGTTTTGTAACAGTACTGCTTGTTGAGTAATCAAAAGATGTCTGGAAAAACATCATATGATCTGAAAATATATATATATTTTTATATATATATATATATATAATGTTAGTCAAATCGCTATTGTATATCCAATATGAGATATGTTGTATTTCAGTCTTAGAGAATCAGTGTACGGTATAAGCAATTGGGAGATTGCTATGTATATAGGTACGTACAAGTAGGCAAACACACACACTCACACTTGCTCTTGTAAGATGGAAGAATGGTTCAGGAAGAAGGTTGGTGTAGGATTCAAACGTTAAGGTATTTGGATGGGATTAAAAGATAGGCAGGTACAGAAGATCGAAGGGAATAGGAAGGCAGGTATGGTTTGTTTGCAAGTACATTTCTGTACCCTTTCTTGAAAACATGTATAACACTTTCGAGATGTCAGCTCCCTTGAATGCGAATAGCAACACTCTGTCATGATAGGTGTTGTATAGAGACTATATTTAATAAATGAAGACTATAGAAACACTGTGAGTTGTGTTTTAAGCTTTTTCAACAAACGTATACATATGCCCGGACTTCTCCCTTCTGTGCAAGTAATCATCCATTAGTTATGATTCCTTTGGCGCAAGTAAGTTGACGTCTATTGAAACCAGTTGTAAACCGAATTTAACATGCTCGGTGGCATTTTATACCTGACAAAGGCTAAAAGCTAATGCTATGGACATCTATAAAAAAACTTGTATGATATAGGAGAGTGAGTGACAATATCGTGACCATGTGTTTATGAATAAACATTAAATGGTGATGATAACAATGTTCGCGAAACGGTGACATTTGCCACACGCACACGCCAAGGCCAGACAATTGTTCATCCTAAATGTACACAAGAACATGTTGTACAGGTCAAGGCAACGAATTGCACCAGATATAGCTTATGTTACTGATGTGGCAAATTTGAAACTGTTCTCTACATGTCAATCATTAGGTTTTACTGGAGCTTGAATGTGGTAACCTTGACCAAATAACTACTGACTACTGTTTTTCGTAGTAGTGTGTGTCAGCACATTCAGTTATACCGGATACATTAAAATTGCATTGCTGGTATTGCACTGAGTAAGATAATCACATCAGTTCCGAAATCCACTTATAAAGGATATAGTGCCTGGCGCTATCGCTGTACAAGCAAGATGGTAAGCAAGGTTGCCAGAAACGGGAAATTCGCGGGAACTGGAAGACAAATATTATCAAATTTGAGGAGGCTAAACATTAAGGTCTGAAACATTTCTCTGAACGCAAGTGTCGCTGGCTGCATCGTAGTAGTAAGTGTCATCACATGCGCAGATGCCGGATCCATTACAAACTGCATTTGTGGTATTACACTGTGTTATGTTATCACAGTGAGCTCCGTATTGCACTTCTGAAATTGAACATGTGTATACAATGCAATATGCATCATGTTTTGTATTTGTCATGGATAGCATCACATCTTGGTGCACTTAATAGTACTTTTAAAAAATAAACCTGAAAATGTAGTATATTTCGTAAATAGATTCTTCCGAGACAAAAGTCTGAAAAGCGAAACAAAAACAACAACACAAACATAATAAAAAAAAAACAAATAAATATAAAAATACTCCAAATCGGTGAGTACATGTAGGTTAATGTATACTATTTCTAGAATGGAACGAAAACTATGGGTTAGTTGTTGTTTTAAGCTGACATTTGTAAGCATGGAATAAATAGTATCTATGGTAACTGGCATAACATTTGGAGTGAAATCTACCTGGATGGTGCTCTGACTACATACCAAAGAGTTACAACTCACAATTAACAGCATGAGCAATAGTTCATAAATACAGAAAGGCAAAAGAAACGTCGTAATATTGGAAATTACATTTACAGTCCGTTTGAGTCGGAAACGGACCGATGAATTGCAAATTTTATCATTGTACAAAATTGCCACAGAAATATAAATAGTACACATGTTTATCATTTACTAATACCCAACAGCTTTCTTATATTTGAGTCCACCAAAAAAGTTGTTTAACAAACTATCATTAAAATTTTGACACAGTTCACTATTTGTTACGAGGGAGGAGTGCAGAGAAAGGGACAGCCAGGTGTTCGAGAAGCACGTACGTGCACAAGTGCCGACAAAATTATTGATTCATTAACCTGTGCTGTGCCGTCTCCATCCTTTCTCGCACACCTGGCTGTCCCTTTCTTTGCACTCCTCCCTCGTAACAAATAGTGAACTGTGTCAAAATTTTAATGATAGTTTGTTAAACAACTTTTTTATATTTAGGACAATTCTCCAAATAAATCACAGAGTTGGTCTGATGTATTGATTATGATCAGCGTTTCATTAAGTATTATATGTTTATTATTTTTCGAGTTAGATTTCAATTCATCGGTCCGTTTTTAAGCCAAACGGACAGTAAGCATCAAAGAGGTATTTGAACCTTTTTTTTAAAAACATATACACTGGAAGTCAAGTTTGAGAAAACATGAATCGTGGTCGTATAGTCTGTATTGCCCAATAAAATATTGTTCGAGATTGAGGTTAGAAATGTTTTTGCTTGTGAAAAGTGCAGAGTTCGCACAAACGCAACATTGAAATCGAGATGCACGAGCATCATGCATGCATTCAGGCAGGCATAAATTGCCGGCTTGAATGGCAATCGTTCACTTGTTTTCTGAACGATGTTTCTTTTGTCTTTCAGTATACACCTACTTACAGCAGAGACATTCAGTGAGAATTCACTAGTCCATAATTCACCAGAACCTTCACTGTAACATCGTACTCTTCGCACAAACAAGGTGGTAAGCAAGGTGACCAGGCACGGGCAATGCACTGGAACTGGAAGACAGACGTCTTCAAATCTAATAAAAGGAGGCTAAACACTAAGATTAGAAAAATACTTTGAGTGCAGGTGTCACTAGCTGCGTCGTAGTAGTGAGTGTCATCACATGTACATATGCCGGATCCATTGCAAATTGCGTTGGTGGTAATACACTGTGTCATGGTACCACAGTTAGTTCCATAAGCCACTTCCGAAATTGAACATGTTTCTACAATACAATATACTTCATGTTTTCCATTTGTCATGAATATTTTGACTGACTGGTGTACTTCACAGTATATATTCCCTTCTTTTTTGCTGCTCACACTGTGGCTGACATGTTAACGAGGTGACTTTTACTTGCTACAGAGCTCTAAATGGCTTTAGATTTATTCTAAATATTCAGTTATTACTGTTAAAAGATAAACTGGGAAATGCAATATATTCTGTAAAAAGAGTTTCCCAAAACAAATGTCTGAAATGCGAAACGTAAAATCCAAACATAAATCCTGAAAACAGAATGTAAAGTAAATACTCCAATTTGGTGATTAGATATACAGTTTCTACAATGAACCAAAAACATGGGTTAGTAGATGTTTTAAGCTAACATTTGCATGCACTGACTAGTATCTATGGTATCTTAGAACTGACATAACATCTAGAGTGTTTTTTTCCTGGATGATGCTCTTGCTACATACAAAAGAATTACAACTCACTATTAACAGCAAAAACAATAGTTCATATACATCTAGTTACAACAGAGATATTCAGTGTGAAAGTAAAGTATACTTTGGTTATTCACTAGTCTCTAATTCACCAAAACCTCCATCACAAACAAATTCAAACAAATGGTATCAAGTGGGATGGAGTGGTGTAACAACAGAATTGACGCTTAACATATTGGTTGTGGCCACTGTTGGCGTTGATACAATTGAGGATGGGGTGGTTTGGATGATGGAAAATAGCATTGATAATGCACTAGTGTTACCGACTCTTTCTGATCCTGGTGCAGGCGTCGTAAAATTTCATTCCAGATATATATTGTGGGGGAGAGGCCTGCAGAAGCTGGCCATGGCAGTACAACAATTTTACACAAGACAGTTAATCAAGACACTTAAGAATCGCTTCTCTTCGCTGCAGGGGATGTGAATCAAATCAAGGGATTCTGCCATACGAGGTACTGAATGAACATTGGCCATGGAAGACAGAAGTAATTCTACGCATTCTGCCCCTATTATCCATTAGTATACCATAGTGTTATCATAAAATATGCGTGCTTGATGATTTTTACGTGAAAAAAACCCCCTCACCGCCAGTTAGGTCGCTTGAAGAACATTTCAATTACAGATTAAATACCCTCTACTGTTTGTTTGAAGGGTATATTTAAAACGTCGTACAGGCAAATCTAATAATATAACATATATATGTATTATCTATGTGGAATGCAAAGAGGAAAGAGTGCATGGGGTTACGATGATAGAAGAAATACTCTTCGTACAAGCAAGGTGGTAAGTAAGATGACCAGGGACGGCAAATTCACTTGAACTTGAAGGCAGATGCTTTCAAATCTAGTTTGAGGAGGCTACACACAAGGGACTGAAACATTACTTTGAGTGCAGGTGTCACTGGCTGTGTCGTAGTAGTGAGAGTCAGCACATGCACATATGCCGGATCCATTACAAACTGAATTGCTGGTATTCCCCTTAGTAATATTGCCACAGTTAGCGCCGTAAACCACTTCTAAAATTGAACATGTATATTCAATACTATATAAATAATGGTTAGTATTCTCATGAATATGTTAACAGTACGTGTCTCCTGAGCTCCTTTTGTTGCTAACAAATTGAATTGTTGGTATTGCACTGTGCTGTGGTATCACAGTTAGCTCCGTAAACCACTTCTGAAATTGAACATGAGTATACAATACAAAATACTTCATACTTTGCATTTGTCATGCATATTAGACTGACGTACTTCACAGTATATATTCCCTTCTTTTTGGCTGCTCGTGCTATGGCTGACATGTCGAGGTGACTTTTACATGCAACTCACACAGAACGTTAACAGGCTTTAGATTCATTCTAAATATTTAGTCATATTACTCATAAAAGAGAAACTGGAAAATGTAGTATATTCTGTAAATAGAGTTTTCCGAAACAAATGTCTGAAATGTGAAACAGAAAATCCAAACATAAATCCTGAAAACAGAATATCAAGTAAATACTTCAGTTTGGTGATTAGGTATACAGTTTCTAGAATGGAAAGAAAAACATGAGTTAGTTGTTGTTTTGAGGTAGGTAAAATCCTTTGTAAATATTGAACAACTAGTATCTATGATGGCTAACATAACACTTACTACTAATTGCATAAACATTAGTCCATATACATCTAGTTGCTATTCACTGTGCAATTCAAGTATACTTTGGTTATTTGCAAGTCCCTAATTTACTAAAACCTTAATCAAAACAACATCATTGACAAAAATCCATACATGTACTTGGTATCAAGGGTTGGTGTAACAACAAAATTAACGTTCTCCATTGGTTGTGACCACTATTGGGATTGATACAAGCGAGGATGGGGTGGTGCAGATGACGGAAATCAGAATTCAGGATGATGATGAAGACAAACGCTTAGTCTCTGAATTTATATAATGTTGATAGTAACAAACAAACGCATATAAATTGAAATGGAGCCCCAGGTTTTAGACAATGTTGAGATATCAGGGGAGACAATGTCTCAGTGAAATCTGTTTTGCCCGCGAAAATTACTTGTTGCTTACATTAAAGATAAACTTTACGTACATAGTGTCCCTGCAATTTAATATTCGCGAAAAGGTTCAAATGTTATTCTTTCTGATCATGTTGCAGACGTTGGTCCATTTATTCCAGCCATGGTAATACATCGGTTTTGCACTGAATGGTGCCTCAAAGCATTTCTTTCAACACGAGTAACGTCTGCGCGGGCATTATAATGCAATATCGTGACGTTCCTGCATTTGCGCAAAGGGCTGACCATTTCCTCGAGATATGTTCTGCCAAGAGTTGATGAAACCTTCGCTAACGTCTCAGAGACGTTCTCCTGGACTCATTTGTGAGCAATACAGAGTCCAAAACCGTGTCCACTGGACGCCAAATGTTGTCAACACTCAACTATGACGGACATTGTGCCCCTCCAGCGGTTGCATGTGATTCTGCCACTAACTGGTCTTTAACGAGGAATGTTCCGACCTGTTTATGTTACAGTTTGGTATCGATTCTGAAGATGCAAAGCCAATGTATTTGTGGTGTTGACATGAGGCGACACGTTTACGGCCGACCTGTGGTATATCATGAGTGTTGCCCTGATGTAAATAATGTCTCCAGAGAGATGATATTGTGTTTCGGTGAACATTAAAACATCTTGTAAGTTTCTAAAATTTCATTTTCAGCAAGCCGTGGCATTCGTTAGGATCGTGTAACGTAAAACAACTGGATACTAAAAGTACACTCGGTCTGTCACCTTGTCATAATCTATACTCCTCAGTTACAAATGTTGAAAAACGGATTGTCAATTAACTTTGAGAACAAAACCCACGCACATGTCTACTTCTCTTGCTGTAAAGCCTTATTAATGTGTTTCTATCTTAATATTTAGCAGTTAATTGTGAATGAATGAAGTCAAGTATAACATACAGTATTAACAACATTTAAGAACTACCTAAACTAAAATGGTAAAATTCAGACTGAAATACGATTACCCCAGCGCTAATCATTTGCCCCTTTTTGTGTTACTGTTTAAAAACAACACTACTGGTCGGTAAGAACATATATCTGCTTTGAAACGTTTGTCAGACGTGACTTAGATCTACCCCAGCATTATACGACATGGAAGTACATAGATGTCAATAATTTTTACAATAGGCAAACAATTATGAAGAGATGACAATTTGCGTCCGACTTAACAGTTTGTGGAATCCATGCGGAAGGCATGATTAACATTTCACGGAAGGTTGTTTGGATACAGTTGAACTGATGTGTACATATTCATTAAATAGTGAGTGAGTGAGTGAGTTATTATTTAACGTCACATCGGCAATATTTCAGCCATGTCGTGACGAGAACATTTGACATTGAAATAGAATATTTATAGAGATTATAAAACCTGCCGACAAAGGACAGTAAAGCAACTAGAGTATCACAGATGTAAAACATATGTAAAACTAGTAATTGAATCTAAAACATTTTAACTATAGGGGACAACACAATATAAAAATGGGCTATAGATCGCCAACAACTGAAGGTAGATCACCATACTAGGAGCCATGGGGACTTATCTTACTTTTGCTACCTGCATGGATCCTAGCTGGATTTACACCATCCCTTCAGCCGCTGGCGATTGTAGGAAAATTTAGCCAACAGTTAAAATAACAAAAATACTACGATTAAAATGTGATAATTTATATTTTACTTTGAAAGTTTTGGGACTTACGTACCCTCTCAGGAGGACATAATTTTACGGTACTTTAACCCCCTTTGAGGGCACAGCCACTAACAATCCAAGTTAAAATACATCTATTTACAGAACATATTAATCAAAAATCATTAATCAAATCAATTTATTTTAAAAAACCAAGAATTAAATGAACATGGACAGTGTTAAAAAGATCCTTAACAGCTTTAACATTGAAATATTTATCCCTTATGATGGAGAATTCGACACAGTCAAGCAGGAGATGCTTTACTGTGACTCTCTCATCACAAGGGATACAAAACGGAGGATCTTCACCTTTCAACAAGTATTTGTGAGTATACCTTGTATGGCCAATGCGACATCGTATAATGACCTCCTCAAATTTGGACTGACAACCCAAGTGAGTGTAACCAATATAAGGTTTTAATTCATGTAGTTTATTAATACCTACTTGGGTGTCCCACTTCTTCTGCATCAGATCACGGATGTAAGTTCTAATGCCAGCTTTGTAATCAGAATATGGAATAAGAAGTGGTGTCACAGATTTATTTAGTGCTGCCTTGGCAGCAAGATCAGCCATTGTGTTCCCAGAAATGCCAACGTGGCTGGGTAGCCAACAAAAGACGAAGTCGCACTGGCCAGTAGCAAGCTCATTATACAATTCAATAATTTCTAATAAAAGTGGATGTTTACAAGAAAAAATTTAATAGCCTGTAGACACGAAAGAGAACCTAAAAATATTATATATTGTTGATATTTAGGGTGTTTATTAATATATTTAAGAGATGTTAATATGGCGTTAGCTTCTGCTGTGTCACGCTATGGCTGAAATATTGCCGATGTGACTTAAAATCTTAACTCACTCACTCACTCACTCACTAGCTTCTGCTGTGAAAATAGAGCTGTTATCTGGTAGTCGAGAAGAGATTGTTCTGGATCCAATGACAGTGGCACAAGCCACCGCGCCACCATCCTTGGACCCATCTGTAAATAAGGATTTGTATGTATTATATTTACTTTTTAATTGATTATATTCTTGTTTATATTGGAATTCATTAGT